CACCTATATGATTTGTATATCCATTTAATACTTTTTTCTCGTACCCTCCAAAAAGATCCACAAGGTTTTTTAATCCGGACATCCAGTGACTCACGGTGAGCGCTGACACGCGTGCGTAAAATAACCTCTCAGATTTCCAGTAGTCCGAGAAGACAATAAAGCAGTACAATCCATCAGGCGTGCAAAAAAAGGTTTACATCCAGAGAAATACTTTTTAAGCCACCATGAGGCTGCTTGTGCCAGATCTTTGAGCGCTGCAGATCTGAGAGTGAAGGAGCACCTTGTGCGTCTGCTGCTCTCTGTTCTCCAGCTCCCCCCCCCCCCTCTCCCATCTCTCTTTCTCTCTCAGTCACTCACTCGGTCATCCTCTCTCTCTCAGTCCCCCTGACAGTGATGACCCGCTCTCCCACCCGATTTACTGGTGCGTCTTTGTCAGTCCCCACACGAAGATGTAAAACACAATGACAATCCTGGTCATAACCCCCAACGACAGACCCCCTGTAATGTTCCTGTAATATTCATATAGGGACTTACACTGTATCTGTGGCACGCATTAATGACCTCATCATAGCTATGGCATTTCCTACGCCTATGTACTGCAGTACATTATGGTTATAGTGTTGCTGTACACTTTCATTGTATTTTCACAAAAGAAATAGGAGACACTTCATTTCTTAACTACTTGGTCCGATGATGGTCCGATGATGAAGCTCACCTGTGGTCTTTTTCTCTTCAAATTAAAGTAAAGCTAATTTGATTTTGATTTATTTTAATGGACTTTATTGCACACTGTATCAAAATCAAATCAATCAAAACATTTGCTTTGAAATAATCAACTAACACTGACAAAAACTCTGACATCTGAGCAAGTTATTTATTATTCGTGCTACTGATGCTAAATACATCTGCTGTCTAACATTAAGTAAGATCTCATGATCGCTAATCGATATTCAATGAAAGCCTTCACCATTTCTTGCAGGCTGAGGCTAGTTATCCTACAGATTGAATGGTTGAGGCAAGTAGGTGGTTGCATGTGATTCAGGGGGGCAATTAGGCTAGTCTGAGGTGCAGTATTAAAAAAATGTGAATAATGGTAAGACTCTGCTTTTAATGGGAAAACTCAAAATAAAACAGAATTCACAGAGCAGTTTGCCAGCTCAGTTTTAATTTATGTATTTGAAGCAGTTTCTCCGGAAGCCCAACTGCACAGAGACAGACTGTAGTGATGATGTCATCCACATGGAGCTGCTCCACAGACGGTGAACAGTGGGACATGGTATGACAGCACCCGTGGTGATTTTACTGAGACGTGGGTATATTTTCTGAGTCACAGCTGGAAGTTGCATTCAAATAAGGCTAATTTTAAACAGAAACGGTATGAATCAGTGTCTAGCTCGGTGTTTTTGGTTTTAAGGGGGTATTTCTGTGATTTAGTATTGCACTCTGATAATGTTGCAAGACTCCCAAGAGATTTTATAAAAACGGTCAAAATCTAGGCAGCAGATGCTGAGGTATACTGACTTTTAGTCCCTAGTTTGGGGTAAGCTGCAAAAATAAGGGATCCTGTATTCTCCACAGTGCAACAGGCTTCCCCTACTTATGGTGCTCCATTTGACATGGGAAATCGGAATTTCCGAGTTCTAAGTTATAAATTTGAACTGGAACGCCCGCTTACGTCGGGATTTCTGACTGGGAAAGTGGAGACAACCTCACCCACCCCTACCTCAAAATCCAAGATGGCTGCAACCAGAATAAACAGTGAAAGTTGTATTAATATACTGTTCATTGCACTTCTGTATAATTTGTGTCTCATTAAATCAATAATACACACAGTCCTGTCCAACTTATATCGGTAGACATGTTGCTAAGGTGTTGCATGTGCAAAATACCACATAAGGCGTTGTTATCAGCTGATATTTTTAACAATGGCCAGATGCATCAATCTTGGTTTTCCAACTTAAATCTGTTGTTACTGGAAAGTCATCCACTCGGGTGTGACATCATATCAAGTTACGAACTCAGACTTCCGAGGTAAATTAAAAACGCCATAATAGTGTATGTAATGTAGTAGCCCATATGACCACATATTTCAAACTCCATGCCATCCATTTGCAGGCTTTCTGTTTAAAAATATATGACCTCCTAGTCCAAACCAAGATAACCCAATGATATAACTATGACATATAAGTGTAGGCTCTTTTTTTTTTAGATTTTTAAAAAAAAAATGGCTCCAAAGTCACAGAAGACATTATATCCATCTGTCTTCACATGTTGACTTTTAGTAATTATGACGAGTAAGGTGATCTTGAAGTGTGAAATAAATGCTACTTTAAGTGAAGAAAATACAGTAGAATAGCACAAGGGAAATTATATTTGTGGTAGATTTTGCCTTGATTCTGATTCAGCCTGTTGGTTCAGAGGCTGATTCCAGATTGTTTTCAACAAAACTTTCAGATTTTGCTAAAATACTGTTTGCAGTAGGTGAGAGTGAGTAACATATTTAATCAGATCAATCTATCCTTCAAAGAAAATGTTTGGGGGGGCTTTCCCAAGTATTTTTTTTTATTATTCAGCAGGTCAGAGATGATTAAACATCAAGATTTAGACTCTCATGCAACAATGACGCTTTGACAGCTGCGCAGAGGGGGGTAAATAATAAATATTGTAGGGATGCATAAATTATTTTTGATCCAACAAATACCTCGCAAACTCCACACACACACGTTGTTGTTGTTGTTTGGCGGGGGTGTCATGGGGGGTGTCAGCAAACTGATAATTACAATCCATAGTAAAGATGATTTACCACGTCCGTCACACAGCTCTCCCCGCTGGAGGAGGTGTGGGTTGGGTCTCCCCCGGCCGCTGATGAAATTCCGAGGACTCGGTCCCCCTGGGACTGCGTGTGCTGCTACATCTGCTGCCCTTGCGCACGCACAGGGAAATCGCTCTGGGCTTCTCATTAATGCCTCTCCCATGTCTTATCCTTTCCAGCTTCTCCCGGTGCACGGACAGGCTTTGTGAGAAACGTTTAGCAAATATTGATAGTTCTTGGCGCTGGAAGGAGATCAAAGGGGAAAAGGAGAAAGGGGGCCGTCTAAAAGGAGAGGGGGGATAATCGGTGCACAGGGCTTTCAATGAATGATTTATGAAGTATAAAGTAGCACCTAGTACAGCCTACCTTGGGGAAAGGGCGTTCAGATTTTCTTGCTTGAGTTTTGCAGATTTGGACTCCCGAAAATAAAATATCTGAGTGTGTTTAGTATTTCAGTGATTTTAATCAGTGTAATAGACAAAACAAGTCCAGAGAATGTGTCATGAATCAAGTTAAAAGTTTAAAATAGGTGAAAGGTCATTTACCTTCACTGACCAAAAAAAAATAGTCACCATTCTTCTCTAGATTGGACTATTGGATGGAAAATGACAGCAGAAACGGTGCTTCCATCATATTTACCATAACAGCAAGTTTCAGTACTTTGGACAGCGACCATCCCTGTATCTCATGGCCCAGCATCCCATAAGGACTCAGCGGAGACAAATGACTCTTTATTGACTTGTTTTAATCAGTACTTCTGAGTAGTTGCAACAGTAAAAGCAGCAAAAAAACGGGCTTTACTGCAGCTGCAGAGCTGTTAAAACATTGTATGTGTGCCAGCAGAATGAAATCACTGAAGCCTGATGTTTTGTTTTTTTTACAGTCCCCTGCAGTTCCTGGACTTCAGTTGGCATTGCAACACAAGGGGGCACAATAGGAGCAGATGACAGAGAAGCAGAGGAAATCACACAGTTGTATTAAAAATCATTAAAAGTTGTGCCTTTTTAAAAGTTCCACTCAATGGCAGCATTTCCCAAGCTGACTGCATTTGTCTGACTGATCAAGTGGTCCTAAACATTTCACAATTTTCTCAAAGAACTGTTGAACTGTTGAGAACCACTTAATCAGAAAGACCACACACTTCTTCAGGGCAATGTCCTTCCTTCAAACAGTTGATTCCACTAGTGAAAGAAAAAAAACAGCAGATAGAATTACATTAATTCATTTAGCTGACACTTTTCTCCAAAGCGACTTACAATTGCTATACATGTCAGAGGTCGCACGCCTCTGGAGCAACGAGGGGTTAAGTGTCTTGCTCAGGCAAGATGGACACAATGGTGGATGGCTCACAGTTGGGGATTGAACCCCGGTCTCTCACACCAAAGGTATGTGTTTTACCCATTGCTCCATCACCATCAATTCAAGAATTAATTTCCTGAGGTGATCTGTCGGTCAAAAACACATCACTGCAACAGATTTCAGGCCTTACATGTTACAGGATATATCTACAAAAACAAACAGAAGGCTTCAGCCAAATACAAGCTCTGTCAGAGTACTTACCTGGAGAGGGTGAGCACTGTCCTTGCGATGGTGTTTCCTTGGTGTCATCCCTTCCTAGTCTGAATGACTGCAGTGAGGAGCTCTTTATATACTGTTTTGGGGCTAGGTTCATACAAGCCTCTCATTCAGAGAGGAATGAGGCCTGTGCTGGTCCAACCGGATGAGCTGGGTTCCACCAGCAAGGAGCACAACGGGGCAGCCGCCCTCAAGACAGAGACAGCAGATACCAGCCACTGCAGGTTGAGAAGTCACATGGACATATGGAATTTTATGTCATCTTTGTCCTCAAAGTTTTTTTAATTTGAGGTGAATTTAACTCGAGTCAGACAGTAAGGGCTCACACAGAAAGGTGTTAAGACGAGCTCCACGTTTGGGTTTCATGTAGTAATCCTCCTAAAGGCAATGAATGCAATTATTATTCAGGACACACTTTGCTAAAGAACACAAAGGAACTCAGCACACTAAGAGAAATGACCTCCGCCAATTGGTTAGACGTGCGCTAATTCATACAGAAAAGCATGTCAAATGGGAAATTGGAATCAGGAATCTTTAGCCAGGAGCAGCGCATGCAGGGTTTCATGTGTTTCAGGGTTTAGTGCAACACAGTTGCAATAACAGGAGACACTGCTTTGAAACAAGACATTTATTTCTGTTACTTCACCCCCACACAGAATAAAAGAGATCAAAGAATCATTTTCTCACACTTTTTGAACACAACAGTAAAACAGTAACAGCATTTGGAAAGAGCAGGACGCATTTTCAAGTCTTTTCAAATTTGTTTGCACTTTAAAGTCACATGTAATCACAGAAGATTTTCTTAACGATGATAACATTAAAGTGTAAAAAAAATGCTAGACTGGTTTGAAGTGTAAATTACATCAAACAAGAGCAGCAATGTTTAACACAATAGGTTTGTTGCACAAGAAAGATAAGTAAAGTACAACAGGTTATTTGTTGCAATCACGAACGCAAGAGCACATTCAAAATGCATACAAGAACCCAGAAACTACTGTAGTTAAAAGTCTTTATCTGGCTCACACTATAGTCTGAATTTCCCTTTTCCATTTCAAAAGGGAGATATGCAACTCTTCCAGCTCGACAATCCGCACACGGAACAGGCTGGATGAGTCTGAAAGGTGACTGCAGGTTTTCGTGCTTGTTTGAGCAGAAGGAAATTAAGCCCTTCTGCTACAGGCTCAGGTATATTTCAACCTAAACCAAAAAGTATTCCAGTTGAACATCCCTGATAATAAAAATACAACCTTGTTTTTCATTAGTTTACATGCTACTTTACAGCAGCTCACTGTAGAAATACGCATAAAAATAAAATCTGTGAATGTACCCTGCACTTCCAGACATCATGCTTATATTGCTATAGCAAAAAACAGCATTACTTTAAAAAGTAATGTCATCGTAGTCAGATGTCTTTCACTGTTGAGTGAGGAGTAATGGGAGGTTTCAGCGCTCTCCATGATTAAAACAGCTCAGTTGAAGATCACCCTTAGTAATAAAAAGTATTTGATTCAAACATTCATGATGATACTACGCTTCATACTGTGCAACAATCCAACATATACATTGAGTGTTTCCTTTTTGGGCTTTGTGCACTCACAGCAGTGGTTACACGAAGTTGTGCTATCAATGGCTTTGGGGGGAAAACTGTAAGCAGGGATGGCTTTAAAAACAGTATGCGATTATAAGCATGGTGCAGACATTCAAAGTGAAGAGCGAGCGTGAAATTCAACAGGACATTGGACGGCGTGTCGAGGATGGTTTGGCAGGAAGTGGACGCAAGCACAGGGTGGTTTCCTGTTGGATGAGGTAGCATTAGTTCACAGTCCTCTTGGGGTGGCGGTGAACTCGATCACTCCACCGTTCTGCCACAGAGACAAAAAAAGGACAGGATTAATATGGTACACAGGGGAGGTGAGAGGTGTTTCAGCACTACTGACTACTAGTGTGCACATATATGCACAAATACAGACACACACAGAGGTCAGGCTTGTACAGAGCAGGCAGCACCGGTTTGGCATTCACAGGCATTTGTGGGCAGGCACTAAAGGTGATTAGATTTTATCTGACAGATAAAAAACAGAAAGGTCTGAAGCATGCTTGTGTTCAATTCAAAAGGTAATTGTTGCTTCTCAGCAAAAAGGCTGGAACAAACAATTTATCAATTCATCTGTTGGTTGTATTTTTTGATTTGTTGACTAAAAGGTGAATCAATTAAACATCATAAGATAGTGAAAAATGCCAGTCCCAGTTTCCCAGAAATTGATTTACAATGCTATAAAACATAGGGACATCAGGAAATCCTCACATTTGAACAGCTGGAATGAGTGAATAAAAGATTATCAAAATTGTTTGTTTAATTTTCAGTCAGTAGGCTGATCAATAAATCACTTTAACTCTCCTTTTAAAAACTAGTCTATATATGTTTTTACTTTTAGAAATGTACTTTTCAATAACAAAAACAGTTTTTTTACTTTTTTACTGTCTTTCGCTCCAACCCCTGCAGGCCCACTGAGCCCTTTCTGTGTGGAGTTCTCCCACTGTCTGCATAAGTAATTCTAAACTGTCTGTAGGTATGAATGTGTTTGTGTATTTTAGTCCTGTGATGTGACCTGTCCAGGTGTGTAACCTGCCTCTTGCAGAATGCATGCTGGGATACCCACAACCTAGGATAAGCAGTTTATAACATGGATGCAGGGATGGATTAATACTAGGCACAAGTTGATGAACACAAAGATGAAGGGGGAACTCATGCTCATTATGGGACACACGTTCTCTTCATCTCATTTACCTCATCATCATCATCATCATCATCATATTCATTAAATTCCCCAAATACTCTCTGAAATGAAACAAGACAAACATGTAATTGAGAGAATTATACAAATCCGAATGTTTCACTAGCATGCAAATTAAGTTAAAGCTGTGCGTGCTGGCATGAAAGAAAGAGAGATATAAAGTAGCTATAATGGAGTTACCTTAGATTTATTGCTCATGAGTTTGACTAAAAATGCCACCACATCCTTTTTGTCAACAGCTTTGGCCTGTGACAGGTGAAGAATGAGAGAGAAGGGGTTTTACCATATGAATTTAAATAGAAATTTTAATGCTTGTGCCCACAACTCACCACTTGAATTGCTGTGTGTCCGTCATAGCCTGGTTTATTCAGATCTGCTCCGGCAAGGCTCCAGATTTCCAGGCCCTCCAGGTCACCACTGGCTGCCAAGCTGACACACAGGAAGTAATGAGTTGTTATGGCAAAGGGCTCCCAAAAAACACTCCCAAAAAACATGTATTATACCCACAAATAGACACTGGGTGAACCACAAGGTGTTGTGTAAAGCGACGTGCCAGAAACTGGGTAAGCACAAAGGGGGCAAATCATTGATGCTGGAATTCATGACTTAGATGTTCTCGTTTTGTATTTTAATAGTGACACAAGCCATGATCTTACAAAAGGTGTGTTTCTGAAACTGCAAATGTTACCGTCTTGACAAAACCTGTCAGGTGTCTCACGTAGATGAAAAACAGGGGCCAGTCAGTGTGTGGTATACTTGCCAGGAGAACAGATCCAAAGCTATGCTGTCAGGGGGCATTCTTACAGTTTGTGTAACAGTGGGACAACTGGTTGCACCTGTGTCAACTATGTAGGATAGGTCACTGCGGATGGCTCAGCGGCCGATAAATTTGAGACTGTACAGTATGTGTGCAATTGTGTGAAGACATGCTTGTTTTGTGGCTCACTTGCACAATTCGGTTCCTGCTTCCTCCAACTCGTCTCTGGAAAAGTGGGCCCCAGTCATCCTCAGCAGCTGCACAACCTTTTTGTGCCTAAAGTAGACAGAGGGCATGTAATAGAGCTATATATTTATGACTGTATGTATTATTTAAATACCATTAGCATATCACTCAGTTAAAAACAGTTGACACTGAAATCATCACCTGACAAATCCTGTTAAGAAGTAGAACCAATACATGATGTTGTTTTCAAACATTTTAACTTAATGCCGTCATTTCTAAATTTTAAAATCTGGACTTTCAGTGACAGAGTCAGTGTGGCAGTGATTGTAGTTTGGCGTGTAAGAACAAGTTCCTTATCCCCCGCAATGAACCGCCCACACAGGATTTTCCCGCAGTGGCAACGGTGGTGACAAGAGAATTACCTTTGAAGAAAAGACCAAAATCTTCTCACCCGAGTTTATAAATAAGAGTGGAGCGTGCTATGTAATAGAAGTTAAGTTACCCTACAGTCCAATTTAATGCTTTATTGTTTAGAGGTATGTAGAGCTACAGCCAAAGGAACTATTAGTTATGACTTATGACTTAGAAGACTTCCTGTAAAGCGTGAAGGAGCCGGTATCTCTCATCTGTGAAACTGGGAGCAGGTTGGTAGGACTGGTTCAGAGGACACTCCCCATATTTCTTCTTTAACCCTGCGCTCTCTGCCACTCCTTATATGGGCATCAGGCTGTAGTCAGTGACATTCAAAGTGTGTCAGACTTGCTGACATCCTGACAGCAACTCAAAAGTCTAGTTCTATTACTTAGTGTCATTTCATTAAATACAGTTTAGGAAGGGCAAAGGTGAGGTGTGTAGCAGAGGAAGTGTAACAACAGGCGTTTAGCGCTCCAATGCGTCCCTGAACCATTACAAAAGGAAACAAGTCCATACCTGCAGTGCCAACCGTTAAAATAGGACAAGAGCAATTTGGCACAGCTTCGACACATACAACGTTTTCACCCTGAGGCTCAACATAGCACTAAAACTGAAACATTAAGTGTGGCTTTTTTTCTGATAGACATTCACAGCAATGTCAGTGAATGACAAAAAAAATTGTTTTGGTAAAAATAAACACCGTCTAAACTGTCAGATGACAATTAGCCTAATTAGTTTATAATTATTGCCTGGCCTCCATTACGAGTTGCTCCCCTGGTTTTAACCCCCTCCCTCTGACAGCCGTGGCGCCCTTCCTGTCATTTAAGCAGAGCCAGATTCCCTACCTTGCAGCAGCTCATTTATTGAAGTCCTCTCTATAGCAGCTATTAACATATTTTCAGGGAACACTCAATGGTTGCTAATGGCCAAAAGGGGAATTTTAAATGTCGTGTTTGCAGCTTCATAAACGATATCATTACTTTAACAGATGGATAAAAACAAACACATCAGCCCTTACTGTTTAAAATGAAGCAAGTCTTACCTGAAGCGTACAGCATTGCATAGCGGTGTGTCCCCATAGCGATCTTTAGCATAGACTGTAGCTCCATGACTCAATAGGTACTTCACCAGTTCGAGGTGGCCCTCACAGGAGGCAACATGTAGGGGTGTACGTCCATCATAGTCACCCAGACACAAGTTGCTGCCCTGTGCCGAAGGAAAACATGAAATCATCAGTGTACTTCACCTGGTGGTTAAAGCATAGGCCTGGTGATATTCTATATTTTTGTCATTTTCAACAAATCAATAAAGTGAGCTTCTCAAAATTTAAGCTGTATTAATTGATGTGTTATGTATAAATCTTATACATCCAGCAGATGCAGGGCACAATTTGCATTTATTAACTTGCGGAATGATTTTAAAACACAATATCCTTTTCAGCCCATTTTCAGCTACTAAATGCTCCTTTATGTTCACGAATAAATCGCTAACATTGTCATTTCACTGCTTGGTGCTGGGCAGGTAGTGTACAGAGCTTTTTTTCCTCTGGAAACTCTGCCTGCTGCAGTTGAAAACTTTGTTAATGAGAAGAAGAACAAAGTCTCTATTGTACAATATATTTCAATCTTCAACCCGGCACTGTTTTGTGTATTATTTAATTATGTGTTGGGTGTTTACAGACGATTTCCACAACATTGTCTAATCATGACCTTTACAGAAATGTGCTTTGCAGTCAAATAAGGCTAAATTAAAATAGCTGGGCCCTGTTTAACAAACTCTAAGCATAACCCTGAGGTCTGAGTTGATTAAGCCTGAGACGGGAAACTTAAGAGTTTGATTCCTAAACAGTTGATCAGAATTAGTTCAATCAACTCACAGTATGTTCACTCTGAGCTATCATCAATGGATCTCCAATGCTATGATTCACCATGGCAACGGGTAAATAAAGAGCAGAGCCTCCATTTTAATACAGTGACGCTAGAAATTTGAATGTGTCAACGCGCAACATGACATTTATCTTAAAAACCAGGAGCGGAGTTACATTACAGTTGAAAATTTTGTTAATGAGTGGAGTTTTACGAAACAAAACAATATCATGAGCTAAAAAAATGCAAAAATGAAAAGCTCCATAAAATAAGGTAGTATTGTGAAACGGGGATAAATAAAAATTTTACTGAAAAAAATAAAAGGGTCAGAAATGTATTAAAAACAAACACTGAACATTTAATTGCCAAGCTTTTATCCGAGTATAAGGATTATATAGAAAGTACTTTAATGTATCCTTAGATTGAAGGGTAGTCCAAGCAGCGACTGCACACCAATCAAGCCAGATACAAACATGTACATGTGACCACTGAGGCAACTCCAGACTTGCCTTACCAGTCTGGCCTCATGTTTTGTTTGACTTTGAATACTGGAAGAGCAGCGTTTCCCATACATTAATTTATTTGTGGCGGCCCGCCACAATATCAACGCAATAGTTTAGTATAGCATACTAAATGTTCTTCGGCCAATATAATTATTTAAATATGTTCATTATGTTGTTATAGCCTACAGTTTAACCTACTGATTAATTTTAAAATATAGGAAATGTGACTGTTTTGCTTAATTTCATTACAGATTAACTGTAAAATTAATAAACACCATAACTGCCACACTGCTGTTGTCATCACTCAGTTTAAAAGTGCTCCCACACAGCTGAGGGCTTCATTTTGTTTTCCCTTTGATGTAAACTGGAGGTTACATTCACTGCTGTGTGCAGAGGGTCAGGCGCGAGAAAAAAAACCCCTCAACATTGGAATGTCATAAGTGAAAATCGAATGTGTCCCCAACAATCGAATATTCTGGTCCAGCCCTAGTTATTACATACAAAAACAGGTAATGATTTGCAACTGCACATATGTGTGGTAGAGATCGTTGGGTGGCTTACCATTTCCTTCAGGGCTTCTAAGGCCTCTATGTCTCCAAGCTTAGCAGCAGCACATGCCAATGGGGGAGTCAGGGCATCACGGATGGCTTCCAACTCCTACAGACACCACAGACATTCATGAAAAAACTGCTACTCTGAATTGAATCTTTTAAACAAGTTTTGGAATAGGCTTTTAACATTGTTGTGAAATAAAGTTATGAACCTGGTTTTATCATTTATTCATAACCATAAAACTTTCATGTGCTCTTCTCTGTTTAAATTAAGAAACAGTTTGAGTTTAGAATATCTGTCTCTGCCATATGCTGTTGTCCATTTGTGTTCCTGATACATACTGAGGCCCCACAAAGAACCTGAAAATACCATGAAATTGTACTTGTGTTACAGTTATGTCAGCGTAATTGTAGTATGTTATGTTCTTCTGATAGTACAGATAGACAGTAGATGGGCTGGCAGATGTCCAATCAGAATGAAGATTTTGTCCTGTTTGCTATAAAAAGTTTACTGTGTTGAGCAACAGAGAGACACACCCTGACTTTCTCTTGTGGTAAGAACAAAGTCTCTATTGTACAATATATTTCAATCTTCAACCCGGCACTGTTTTGTGTATTATTTAATTATGTGTTGGGTGTTTACAGACGATTTCCACAACATTGTCTAATCATGACCTTTACAGAAATGTGCTTTGCAGTCAAATAAGGCTAAATTAAAATAGCTGGGCCCTGTTTAACAAACTCTAAGCATAACCCTGAGGTCTGAGTTGATTAAGCCTGAGACGGGAAACTTAAGAGTTTGATTCCTAAACAGTTGATCAGAATTAGTTCAATCAACTCACAGTATGTTCACTCTGAGCTATCATCAATGGATCTCCAATGCTATGATTCACCATGGCAACGGGTAAATAAAGAGCAGAGCCTCCATTTTAATACAGTGACGCTAGAAATTTGAATGTGTGTCAACGCGCAACATGACATTTATCTTAAAAACCAGGAGCGGAGTTACATTTTATTCAGTATAGTCTCATTTGTCATTTAACAGATTAAGTGCTCAAATCCTGTACTATATGTTATATTTGATTTTTAAATATAGGCTATTTATTCAGCTGTAACCTGATAGGGACAAAATGCCGGTGGCAATAACTGAAGATGAAAATATGGATGAAACAGATAAGACACTCATGGACATATGTTTGCAAAGTCATAGTCCGACCCTGTAATAATTATTTTGGTGATTTGCAGCTGTGTCTAGGTTCTGACTGTAATTTTTTATACATTTCGTGGCCTCCACAACTGGCTCCAGGCCGCCTGCAGGGCTCACCGTGTGTGTTATGTGGATAATTTTAATATTTTCTGGCAAAGAATGTCTCTTTTTAAGACAGACGGACTTCACCCAAACAAACAGGGCTCAGAAATGTTAGCTGCTCACATACAGCATGTGGTGCGGTCCACACATGACTTACGTGAATGACTAATCATTCATGCAGCACACCTAGACACACCACCGCTCACTGAACAGATCACTGCCTCACTGCCACAAACAACTGTCTCCACCTGCTGGCATGTAAAGCAGTCTGCTCCCAGCGCTGTTCCAAAGACTTCTATTTCTGTCATCATCACGCATAGACCAGTAAACCGAAATGTGCACATCCCACACAGAAATAATAGTAATCTCTTAAGGATTAGGACAACTGCACCAACTCCAACACCCAGAACAAAGTCATTTAAAATGGCTCTCTTCAATATGAGATCACTTTCAAGTAAGATTGATTTATTAATTAACTACAATAACATGGTTAAGGATGCGAGAACACACTATTTTTTTCTGAACTCATTACTACACATAAACACAATCCCAGGTTTCTGTTTAAGACTGTGGATCAGCTGGTAAACCCAACCCCTCCTTGTGCCTCAGCTAGAAGTAATGATGACTGTGAATTGTTTTTATCTTATTTTACCAATAAGGTGGTGTCAATCAGAGCCTCTATTACCCCCGCGGCCTCTTACTCAGAGGTTCCTCACCAGCAACAAGAGAGTTTTAACCAGTTTTATCCCATCGACTTGTCTGAGCTTTTAAAAACAGTATCACAAATGAGAGTGTCCTCCAGCCCACTTGATGTAATGCCTACAAAGTTTTTACTGAAAGTAACAGATTCTGCTGGGCCCCATTTGATCTCTGTTTTCAACAGCTCCCTATCTACTGGTTGTGTCCCTGATTATTTTAAAACAGCTTACGTGAACCCACTTTTAAAGAAACCTGGTTTAGATCCCTCCCTCCCACATAATTTTAGACCAATTTCAAAACTGCCTTTTATTGCAAAGATTCCAGAAAGAAAATTGTGTCCAAACAGCTGCTCACTGTACTGGAAAATAAAATATTTGAAAAGTTTCAATCTATTTCAAAAGTTTCACGAAGTACCACAGCACTGAGACTGCCCTGCTTAAAGTCACCAATGACCTTTTAATGTCTGCTGATGAAGGTATGTGCTCAGTTCTGGTACTCCTGTACCTTAGCGCTGCTTTTGACACCATTGATCAAAACATCATGTTAGACAGACTGAGGCACTGGGTGGGGATCTCTGGTACTGCCCTAGAATGGTTTTCATCCTACCTGTCAAATCGGAAGTTTTGCGTGTCTGTAAACAACTATGTCTCCTCGTTCTGTCCAGTTAAATATGGTGTGCCTCAGGGGTCGGTCTTAGGACCCATTTTGTTTTCCTTGTATCTGCTTCCCCTTGGACATATTATCCATAAACATGGCATTTCTTTTCATATTTATGCTGATGACACACAAATATACTTGCCCGTCAGATCCACAGACCCTGGAATGCTGAGTTCACTTAACAACTGCCTTTGTGAAGTTAAAAAATGGATGGAAAATAATTTTCTCCAGCTGGTCATTGGGTCCCAGCAGATGGCAAAACAAATACTGCTATCTGCTGGTTCCCTAGTAAATCACATTAAGCCTGTGGCAAAGAACCTTGGTGTTTGGTTTGATAGTAATTTAAATTTCGAGCAGCACACCACAAAGCTTGTTCAATCATGTTTTTATCAATTTAGAAATATAGCAAAAATTCGATCTATGTTAACTTTTAAGGACACAGACCATTTTACACGCGTTCATCTCATCACGCCTGGATTATTGCAACGGCCTTTTCACCCGTTTAACCCAAAAATCTGTTGATCAACTCCAGACTGTCCAGAACTCAGCTGCCAGGCTTTTAACCAGAACAAAGAAATATGACCACATTACTCCTATTTTAGCTTCATTACACTGGCTCCCAGTATGTTTTAGAATTGACTTTAAAATCACAGCATCACAAATGATTGTTCATTAGTTACAGCTTCATATAGATGTTTGATTTTAACAGTGATTACTGCAGAAATGTAGCCCATGCTAAATGTTTCAGTGCAACTGTTGACAACCCGACAGCTGCCTTATTGTCCACAGAGTCACAGTGAAGGACAGTGTAGCCTGTAGATTTTGTTCTGTGCTGAAGAAGAATCCACACACACTACACAGAGACATAGATATATAGATAGATATTTGTTAATTTGACAAAAATACATGTATTGGATTAGAATCGTTTACCCCACATTTAACCCTCTTTCTGGAATGGTAAACCCAGAGTTTTCCTCATCTCAGGCTTCCCTAAACCCCCTTTCTGAAACAAGGCCCTGGTTTGTTAACTGTTTGGTGAAGCAACAGATGGCCACACTATTTAAGTCTGTGTATAGACGGTGCCCTCACCTCCTTGCAGCTGATGCTCAGAGACTTGGCAATGACCTGGATGAAACGGCTGTCGCTCAGACAGAGCTTGGCTCCTGCTAAGTCAGCACTCATCTCACCTCGCAGGTTCTGAGCCATCATCTGGATAGTGTCACATACAAACACAGCTGTTCACTTTTTTCTTATTTACATTTATTCATTTAGCTGAGGCTTTTATCCAAAGCAACTTACAATTGCCATATATGTCAGAGGTCGCATGCCTCTGGAGCAACTAGGGGTTAAGTGACGTGCTCAGGGACACATTGGTGTCTCACACCAAAGGCATGTGTCTTATCCACTGCTCCATCACCACACCCCATTGTTGTTGTTATTATCAGCATCATCATCATCATCTCTATTGATGTCCTGTTACTCTAAAAAGCCTCTCTATGGAGAATAAAAGAAAGTGTTTATCTCACTTCTGAACATAGACACAAACCTTTTTCTTGGCAGCTAGATCAAGCTCTTTCTTGGCCAATACGTAAGACAGCTTTGATAGGGCAGCCTCTGGAGTCATGTCTCCACCAGCTATCAGCCCTGCATCCATTAACACCTGAGAAGTCATAGGGAGTGGGTGATTTGATTGATTCTCAAAAGTCAAAAATGTCAAAATGTAGTAAAAGTGGGTCACGATTGGATGTACTTTGCCGGTGGCGTAAGATGCAGACACAGTCCCCCTCAGACACTGGGTGCAGTTGATGATGATGACCCCAGAGTCAGTGGCCTTCTTCAGCTCCTCTAACAGGTCAGGACGGTTATCAGGGGCATTTCCACTGCCGTAGGTCTCCAGGACCACACCCTGCATGGGCGGCTGGAGGAAAGCCCTCACCTGGACACAGATATACCAAGGACTCACATTACAAACTCCCAAAATGTATGGCCAACAGGCTGCTCAACTGTGTTTAATCAAACTGAGGAATTAGTATTCCATGTCATTTTTCCTGCAGCATCTTTTACTCCAATGCATGAGTCCATCCACTCTACTAAAAGCCCATCTGGTGCCATCTATGCAACCACTATCTCAGTCACTGGTTGGCTGGCACCAGTGGGGCCCTATACCACACCATTAGCCATGGCATATGATTAGAATGGCAGATGACTGAAATGGCAGGAAGGAGGGCAATTAATCCGAAGGTGTTAGCAAGCATAAAGTCACTTGGCAAGACCAAGGTCAGTTTCCATGAAATGTGAGAAGAAGGTGACATTAGAAGTGCCAAGTTCCGGCGCTATTTTTCTGATGTAATAAGCAGTTTGACAAGAAATGTTTGAAGCAGATTACCAGTGTAGCTATCATACAGCAGAGGCAGTGGGCACACGAGGGCCTGGTGCCTAATCAAAGTGGTGCCTCATAAAGGCAGTTAAACGCTGTAAGGAAGTCTTGATAGCCGAGCTGGGCAGTGGGAGCAGATTGAGACAGTAAAGTCACTCTCCCAGCTGCCTCTGCAGGGGGAGGTGCAGCTAAATGTTACAGTATCTATGCCAATCCTGCCTCTTTACAGGGTGATTGGTCATGGCCCATAACACTTTTTCATCTTCTCTGGGCTGAGCTTTGATGGCAGTTTACATGACCGGGAAGGTAATAGAAGATGGGTAACAGCACAATTAAATTAAAGTTAACTATATTTTATTGCAGTTAGACAAAACAGTTTTGAGGAGTCAGTTACCTTTGAAGAACATATATTTAATTACATATTAATCCACTGAGAACACACACCTGGGAAACATTCTTGACTTAAAGATTTGCACCATGTGGGTTACATTTTTCATCATTTGACTAAATATAATTTAGTGTTGAATCTGTATAATTACCCATAAATAATGGAATGACATCAGATTATACTTGTCAGATAAAATGAACCTTATGTTTATGCGAACACAGCACTGTACAGGAGTTGTTTCAAAACTAGACATGTGCATATATATTACATTTATCAGTTAAAGTACAATTTGAGTAAACAGAAAAAAAATCTAAATCAAAAGCAATATTCGTTGTGACCAGTCTTTGCCCTCAAAACAGCATCAGTTCCTCTAGGTACACTTGCACAAAGTCAGGGATTATGCATATCATCAGGTGTATGTAGAGCAGGGCGATATGGTCAAAAATGTTATCATGCTAAAATAAATTCATATCATTCGATGACGATAATTATCACAATAAATGTCAAATCATTATTTCTTTTCAGTTTAAAGGCTGATTTGTGCTCCTGAGTGAAATGTGAAAAAAACAGATGGTTAATTGTGGTTTTAAACTATTCTTTATAGTCAGAACATGTAACAAACACTTGATGCCAAACAGTGGATCACTTAACAAATCTAAAGGTAGAACATTCCAAACAATTAGGATAAAATCTTTTTTCAACAAATATGCATGAGTAAAATTAAGTAAAATCCGAATTCAGTCCCTTACCTCAACAAAATAAATATCTTAATAGAAACATTTCTAAAAGTTCTAATTTGTTTGCGATTTAAATGAATTACATCAAAACATTTATTATGTTGTTACTGAGGAAAAATATATTGTGATAATTATCAGTTTTATTGCCCAGCCCTAGGTGCTCATGATCACCAATTCAATATTTAGGTTGAAACACAATCATTAACTGAAACAGCAGCATAGGAGGTCTGTGAAGATTTGCAGGCGTCTAGGTCATAGTTATCCAAAGAAGGTTAAAATCAAGGGCAAGTAGACTTTGTTGAAGATACCTGAAGACATTTTGCGTCTTATCCGAGGGGTTTCTTCAGTTCTGACTGACTGACTGCTAGGGAATCTCAGCCATTTCACCTCTGTGAGGTCATTATCAAGGTGATGGCTACTGCTTGGTTCGTTAGCTTGGCTGTTGTAACGAGCGATGTGGTGCTCGTAACAAGGATAGCGGTTTAACCCGAGACAGCCTAAATTTTTGTGAATGGAAGCTGGAATAATCTTGGACTGAAACTGGACCCAGATGATGTGACCTCCATGTGCACATGTATCCCTACCATGGAGGCGGCAGAAAAGGACATGATTGCTACAAGACAACACCTTGAACACTCAGGCCAGACTGCTGGACCTCTGTCTGAACACCACCCATTTCCACTACAACGGGGGATTCTACATACAGAAGCATGGCTGTGCAATGAAAGCAGAGCCCTGAACTCCTTTAGAGAAACAGCACAGAGTCATGGGTACAGATATGTGGACAACACATAGGTTGAAATTAAAACCAAGGAAGTGCAAGCCCTCACAGAACATACAGTATCACCTCTGTGGACAGTAACATCAAGTTCACATGAGAGGATATCAGCAACAACAATTTGGCCTTCTTGGACTGTGCCGTACACATTAAAAGAGGACAGGAGCCTGCTTCACCCTAAAGACCGCACACCCAAACACAAGGAAAGCAGTCTAATGTATGCTGTCCAATGCAGTGAGAAATGCATTGACTAATATAACTTCAAATTTTAAATATTTGGCTGCATAAGGGCTAGACAGCGGTACAAGAATGAGTGTCTGCAGGCACCAGTGAAGCATGGTGGTGGAGGTTCCTTGCAAGTTTGGGGCTGCATTTCTGCAACCAGAGTTGGGGATTTGGTTAGATCTTCAATGCTGTGCAGGCAGATGCTTATTCAATCATGAAATAGCATCAGGAAGGCATCTGATTGGCCCAAACTTATTTCTGCAGCATGACAACAACCCAAACATACAGCAAAAGTCTATCTTCAGAGTAAAGAAGAACAAGGAGCCCTGGAAGTGATGGTATGGCCCCCACAGAGGCCTGATCTCAACACCATCAAGTCCGTTTGGGAATTCATGAAGAGAGAGGTGCCTAAATCAACAGAAGAACTATGGGTAGTTCCCCAGGATGTTTGGGCCAACCTACCTGCAGAGTTCCTTCAAAAACTATGTGCAAGTGTACCTAGAAGAATTGATGCTGTTTTGAAGGCAAATGGTGATTTGATTGAGATTTTTCTTCTGTCATTACCGAAATAATGAGCTGCTAAATTATTTTCCAAAAACAAAAAAACCCACCTATTAATTATTCTGTTGTATGTAACATCAACCAAAGAGGAAGGACCTCTGGACATTAGGTGACTATGACAAAGACAGAGGCTCTGCTCGGGGGCTGAGCGACTTACAGTAGCAGCAGTGATTCCTGGGAACAGCCTGAGCAGGCCTACGTTCCTGTTCAGCTCAGTGCTGACTTGAAACTTTGCTGTGGTGTTTGCCCTCCACACTGTATCCCAGTTGACTAAAGGAAAATATGGAGAAAACAGACATTTTAAAAGACTCTTCTGGACATTTGAAGAAAAGTGACAGATTACACTACTGGCTTACTTGTAATATCCACTTCAGCAGTGGCCAGAGGAGCCAAGTTAGGAGAGGAGAATGCGTTAAAACTCCCAGCATCCACCTTGGTCACACGGTTCCCTCTGTAGAGTTTGTTGTAGAAATACAGACACACCTGAATGGACACAAAGATTTATTTAATGCAGTTGCTCTTCTACTGAAACAAAATCCCTTTGACAGCGCAGAACTTAACATATACATGGATGGAAACCTGCATACACATCTAAAGATGGAATCGCTTTATCTGAACTCATTACTAAATGTCTGTCTGACAACATATACCTATGTCAACATAGACAGACGTAGACAGCGCTTTTCAGTGTTCTTCCTGTTCTGGTGTTGTTCAGTATTGCGAAACATTGTCGTTAGAAAGCATTCTCATCAGACAAGTCGTTCAGGAGAGCTTTTGTTAAACAGTGTTGACACCTGTTTTTTCAGATAACGGCGTGTTTACTCCACACATGAACAAATATACAGGTTTATAACATTATAGGGTTACTCATTTTCATGAAGTAGTTTACAATTAATTTGATCATTTATTAACACCACATATAACATCTTCATAATGATGACTCTGGTGATTATTTGTTTCCCCATTTAACTACTGGGAGCTGATGATGTTTTTGGTGATGGCTAAATATACTATAGATTTCATGTAGTCACTTGAGGTAATGCTATGTGTTTTATAATAAAATAATAATGTTTCATGTGTGACAAGTTTCCCCTTGAGGACAAAAGCACTGACGTAATAAAACAAAGCTCACAAAAGAAAGCCACTACTCTGATCATTTGGAGAGTCTCATAATTCCTTGGTCTCTCTCACATTCACAAATAGAGCGATGATTGACTTTAGTTATTTGAGGCTACAAAATTTCTCTGATTATCTAATATCATGTGGGTGAGTAGCATTTATGTCCAATCTCCATTTCCTCACCTCAGGAATGACAAACTGGCCAGCAATCAGCAGCGCTCCCAGCAGGTTGTCTCTGCCATCATTCCTCATCTCATAGATAGGCACCTGAAGACAGAACATCTTATCTAATGTCTTATCTTGAAATGGCAGTTAATACTTTAAAATGCTGCACACACATTTTGTCTTTTTGTTTGCTAGAGGACAGCAGCTCCTACCTGCGAGCCGGTGAGAATGATTGGTTTGCCCAAATGTTCACACATGAAGGACAGGGCAGAGGCTGTGTAAGCCATAGTGTCTGTGCCATGAAGGATCACAAAACCATCAAAGTCTTCGTAGTTTTTCTGGAGTCAGACAAGAAAAAAGGCCACATGATATGGATCATTTTAGATGGCAACATAAATACAACTATAATGTAATATTATGCATTGTAATTTATGAGCAATGGGAATATTATATCATTGCTTTTAAAAGCATAAATCATGTGATGTTTATTGAGGAATGGGGTCATCAACACCCTAACACTGAAATGGATCCAGAAGCAAGTACCTCAATGTCCATTCCAATTCTACCCCAGTCGTCTGTGGTCATATTGGAGGAGTCTAGCAAAGGGCTGTACTCTAATATTGTGTAGATTATCCTCTTATTGTCTTTACTCAGCCTGGGGACAGAGAGAAGTTCCTATGAGTCTGTCATTATACACACACACACACACACACACACACACACACGTAATTATCATACATACAAAAACCAAAACAGGACAAACAACCCAAAATGAATCACTGGTTTCATTAGCTTCGCTATGACAAATGATTGTTAGTCTTCATTTTGCTCATTTAACAAAGTTGGATCAAGTCCTGGTTAAATATGAAAAGTGAGTTTAAGGAAGGATAGGGGGAAATGCTAAAAACCAAGCTGACTTTATGAAGCGAGACAAAGTCTATTTCGCTGGGCCTTCTGTCTTGGCAGCAGGATGCCAAAACCTGTTTCAGACACAGAGAGAATATTCTGGAAGCGTAAAAGGGAGGGGCATGGTAGGCATACGGTTAGAGAGCAGCACTTTAAAATGAGCCATTTTTCCTTTCCACAGTAAATGTTCTGTGGAGCTTTACCACTGTGTAATGTAAATACAGGCAAAGTTGAGCGACATAAGGAGGGTGATTTGATATATCTTGAGGGTTAATTTGGTGAGTCATTCCAGGTTACAGCAAAAGTCTGTGTTTCTTTTTCATTCCAATTACAAGGGTGTAGCAAAGCCTGTATGTATACATATTTATGTCGCCTTGAAGTGGAGTTTAACGCAGGCGTCCCACCTGCGACGCCCCGCATAAGGCAGCGTGACTGGCTTAACAGCCATGGAAAGGTTTTTTTTTTTTTTAATCTTCCCTTTAAAGAAACAGAGTGGGACACCCCCCCACATTTCCATAGGGCTGCCTTATAACACAGAGATAGGAGCTGAATGGAACAGCAGGGAGAAGATCCAGCAAGCAAGCCCCAGTCCACCCAACCAGGGGTCCTACAGACACTCTTCTAATTAGCCTTAAGTCCACACACGACCCTAGAACATATGTTAGTGATAATCTTGAGGCCAAAGTGCCACAAGAAAACACTATTCAAATCACCAATTATTCATCTATCTGGCAGTGTACCCTAAGGTGTAGAAAGATCCACATTAGCATACCCATGCTAAGATAGCTTAAGAATAATAAATGTCTCTGTGTATATATGTATACATGTGTGCATGATTGAGGACTCAAGATGTGAAGAAGAGAAGGGCTGGAATTGGGGTGGCAACGGCCTTGTGGCGCTGCCTCTCAACATCACATGAATAAAGCTTTTCAATAAATCAATAAACTAATTCCCTACTTCAACACAGGCTGAGCATATCATCAACCGTATGCTCATTAGACTTGCATATGAGCCTCTTTCAGTTGAAATTAACACTATGCCGACTCAAGGATGAGCAAATATTAAAACGTAAATTGTGCTGAACACATAAAAAAAGGAAATTGAAAAAAGAACATGCTCACATATTCATGTTAAAACAAAATTTTAATATTATGTTAACAGATGTTTAATATTAGTCAAAACAAACTCATTGCTAATATTTAAGACATTTACCAAGCAGCTATTTAACTAACAGGGAGCTCTAGTGTAGTTGCTAAATGTGCGAGGTTGAAGACAGTAAAACTGAACAGCCTAACAAACAGATGCCAAACTGCTCACATACCCTCAACCTAAAGGCTTTCAAAAACCGCCTATCACCATCTGATGTACGGATCCCTTATCTAAACCATACATCCCGCTCCACCCTGCCACTCAGCAGACTTTCTGGTGCTTTTTTCTCGTATTGCCAAAGGCCATGTCGGCATGCATTTCCTGCCAGGCAAGCATGCCCTAACATTCAGTCTTACGGACAGCAGAGACATCAAACCAGTCCAAGCGCAGTGCAGACACAAACAATGCTACCAGTACTACAGCACCCGTGAAATAGATGGTCAGAATGGGCCGTTGGCTTCCTGCAACAAAAGGAGTTTGTCATGAACACCATTACTATTCTGTTACTATTCTGAGTGAGTGGTTTCCATTTAGTCTCTGCTTTTTCTGATATGAAATGTAGCTTGCCCTGTATGAAGCCTATAGCACCAACTGTATTCTAATATAATGATTAAATTACATGATTATAAAGGTGCAGTGTACATCTAACCTACCTTGCAAAAAGATCTGACAAGCATATATTTTATTATAATCCTCTCACAATGGAAACTATGTGATTCAGAACAATAACTTTACATTAGAAGAATTTTCTCACTTTGAAGATGTGTCGTCTTTAGGTTAAATGGAATTGACGGGCTTCCTTAGGTGTTCGGGTGATGGACTTTTTATTATGTTAGGCTTTATTATGCAATAATACAAGTATATGGAAAATGAAGAATACACTGCATGGAAATCTTAAAATTTATATAAGTGAACATCTTAAATTTGCAAATGACAATCACCTTTGTTGTTACTGTACATTGCTACCACTGACCTTACATGATGCTCACATGATAATTAAGTACCAGAAAATTACATTTTACTTTAAATATCAAGATGGATGTAAAACTGGTAAATACGGTTGATTTTAAGTGTAAACAAAAAGGTTTTTAAAGCATCTATAAGACTGCAAATATTGCACATTTAGTAAAGTGCTTGAATCCTTACACTCTGTGGACAAGAGCATGTGTGTTGAGTGTTGATGAGTGTGTAGGTTATTTAAATTCTTCTGAATAAAGTTATAGCTATGTGTTCACTGAGCAAGGAGGAATTCTGGGTGCACTTACGGCAGGACCAAGGTGTTCTCAGATGAATAGTAGTCATACAGGCTGGTGAGCTGGGCATACGTCTCATCGTGTAGGATAGGCAACTTGCACAAGCTCTTCCCGAAAGCATTGGCTTTTGGGGCAAGCACTGATGGTTTCCAAAATAGAAAAAAAACAAATTATTGAAATATTTCATAGCTTGCTCTCTGTGGGTTGACAGTTGACTGAATTGTATTGGGGTTTTCCAACACCATACGATAGGCCCATACTGAACCCTTGTGGTGAATGTAAGTAATGTAATTGTTGCACAGGCTGAAAAATCCATTTATAATATGATTTATAACATAAATGGCACTGAATTCATAGTTTTTAGTCTATTGAAATAGGTACATTTCTAAAATCTATTATAAAAAGTGCATAACTGAATATGCAGGGCACAGCACCAATGCTGCTGTAGAGCAGTGGTTCTTAAAATGGGTCTGGGGGCCCCCAGGGTCTTTGAGGGTGTTCCATGGGGTCTACAGCAAAAAGAGGAATCTTTTACTTACTATACTACTATAATTCAATCCACACGGTAACAACGACAGAATGTATGACTATTTTGGTCATTGGTTTCATTTAACAGCAAAACTCCCTTTAAATAGGGTTCTGTGGTGTAATTTGTGTCAGCTTAGGGGTCCTTGATGTGAAAAAGTTTGAGAACCACTGCTTTAGAGGAGCTGTGGCTCTGTGCACTCTAAATGAACAGCAGCAAAAATACTTCACAACAATTTAAATGAGAGACGACACGTGGCGGACGACAGCCACATGACCATCAGCTCTGAAGAAGTCAACAGTTGACAGAAAGATAGGAGGACTTTAATAAGAGTAACAATAAAGGGAGGAATGGCTGTGCAATCATAACCCTAGAGCACACAAAGTAAACAGGTCCAAAGTAGACTCAAGGCATGTTTCTGTAACTGGGACTTAGAATAGGTTTGGTCATGTATTTTAAAAATTCCAGGTTCCGCTGTTCAAGATATTTCACTCTGAACTCTGAGGTGTTAAACTGGAAGACTGAAGGACTGACTGACTGACACGATCATCCCTGGAAAGAAAATGGATGATCTCATCTTTAAACATCAAAATGTGAGACACCATGTGTGCAGATAGGCTAATGGACCTACATATCCACATTCACGCAGTGTAAAGTGTGAATTAGCCCCATTTAATCCAATTTAGTGACAAGCTATTTAATAACATTTTATTATATAGCATTGTCAAAGTAACGCTGCTTTATGGGGAGAGTTTCTAAGCAGAACCAAGAGGTATGATAACATCATACCTGTTTTAGCCTCTTATCATTGGCTTCTGGCCTGTTTTAGGATTGATTTTAAGATGTTATTGATTACTTTTAAGGCTCTCCATGACCTGGCTACAGATTATATTTTGGATCTTTTAATTTCTTATGAGCCTTAAGAAATCTTCAGGCATGGGTTTCCTGTCTCTCCCCGAGTCCAGAGCTTTTGCTGTCAGGGCCCCCGAGGCTCTGAATGACCTGCCCAACAAAATTAGGCTGTCAGAGTCGTTCTTTTAAGTATCATTTATCAAAAAGCATATCCCAATTTTTATCTGAGCCACCTATTCATTTTAATGTCTTACTTTCTAGTTTTAGCTCTTCCTTCTTCTGCATATATATTAATGTTTTTATTTTCATGTCATTATAATTATTTTATCATTTATTGTGGTATTTGATTTAATCCTTGTCCCTGCCAGCACTTTGTTTTGTTAAGTGCTCTATAAATAAATGTTTTTATTATTACTGATTCATGCTACAAAGTACATAAAATATATTTTAATACAGGAAGTGAAACATTGGTAGAAATATTTTGTCCTAGCTTGTACTTGTACTAGCTGGTAGGACCTTTGAATGTTATTTTGACTGTACATGCTCCAGTTCCCCAATGCCATGTCAACATCTAGTTATTCATTGAGAGAGAACCTCTGATGTTGCTCCAACTAACTTGCATTATGCGGGGGCAGCAGAACAGTAGTGCCTTTAGCATTGCCTCCCTCAGAAATTCACCAAAATTCATCAAACTTAAATTAATTTCAGCTGGTTGTCTCCAGTGTGGGTTTCTTATTAAAAAAGATAAATGTTCTGGTTCTGCTTATCACTGACATGACGGTCCGTTTAACATTTGGCTTCAGGTGTCAAGGAGAGTCAGCTGATGTGTAAGTTACACCAAACACAACGTTTCATTTAGCTTGCAAACGAATATAAGCTAGCTGTGGCTGTGTGCAGGACTATTTTAGGATGCACGTGTATGTTGTTGTCACGTGGGGCTCACGCCATGCCTCATGCGCACAGTAACATTAAAGCAACGTGCGCTAACATTTCTAAATCAAGCTACCTATCGTTAATTCTGCTGGCGAGCTGCCACGCTGCAGCTGCCCCAGGGGACCGGACAGGAAAAACAATTGCCAGTTAGCCATAGCTACCGTTGTCGTGAAGGGTCATCCCGATGGTTCCTCCGGTGTTAATAACCAGGACTCGCGCCTCGATGGCGGAAGGTGAAGTCGCCTGCTCAAGGGACTCAATTGAGGCGCAGCTCGTCAACTTTCTCCTTCGGCACGGATGAAGCTGAATACTTCGCGGAGGGCTGACATCATTACTTTCTATCTGATCCAGTTTTGATTGTGACAACGCACGGGCAAGGGATGTCAGGCTGTTGACGCTGGAGTCCGCCATGATGAAGTACCGCTGAGGCGGGGCTCTCTTAAAACCGTGTTTAAAACACGGTTGTCTTCAAGTGCTAACGTTATACGCTCCCTGAAACACAGAACCGTTTCCCCAGTCTTATATACAGAAAAGCAGCCGCCATTGTAACCACGTGATGCAGTACACGGAGAACAGAATCGTAGTTTTAATTAGAGTTTAACGTCACCTTCAGTACTTGACTCCTCCTCATTGAGGATGCCCTTCATAAATGTGTTCTTGGACTGCAGATGGATACTATCCAGTCTGACGTTAGTGATCTGGGTGTGGCCTCAAGTGCAGCAGACTTTATGGACAGTGTCACAGCAAATATCCCCTGCTGATTTACTTGTGGAAATATAATATTGTGTAGAATTCACGAGGTGGGGTTTCGAGTTCATGCATAGTGTTGAGGGGATTGAGGAGGCAGATGGGTCACTAGATTACACAGAAAAAATAAATAGGTTAGTTAAAGAAATGTGGCCAAATTCATGGTTAATGAAAGTCAAGTTTTCAGAATCGTAGAGAAAGAAAAATGTACTTTTAAATGCAAGAGAAGAGATGCATTAGCTATATGCAGATTGAGGTTTGGGCACTATGGGCTGAGGAGTGGGCTGGCTTTGATAGGTAAACATCCTGATGGAAATTGTTAATGTGGAGACAAAGAAACAGCAAAGCATGTACTAGTCCATTGCAAAAACTAGGTTACTCTCGTCAAAGGAGGATTTTGGAGCAACTGCCTTTAATCTACATATAGCTGGAACAAAATGTAGAAATTGATGGAATATCTACATAATACTGGACTATATAAGATAATGTAGACAGTTGACATTGACAAAGATGTGAACAGCAAAGAATGGAGGGCAGCAATATGTCGTAGATGCATCTAATCTGCCAAATAAAATTTGCACCATTGAATGCATGAATTATGAATTAGTTATCAATACTGTTAGGCCCTATATTTTAAAATTGGTCAAATGTATGGGGGGAGGGTTGATGCAATGTGAGTTCTTTATCTTTAAAAAAGTTTGGCCTCCAGAATCCAGAGAAAAAACTAAAGAGTAAAGTATCGACGAGAGTGAAGTTTATGAAACAAAACAATATGAGCTAAAAACAATGCTAAAATGAAAAGCTCCATAAAACAAGGTAAATTTATTCATCATATTACAACAGGGTTGTTAGTTTGTTGCTCCCTTTATGCTACAAAAACTATATACAAAAATTATAAGATGATAGACAGAAATAAATTCTTTTCATTTGTGCAGTCCTGAGGATGAATTTGAATTTCAACACTGAATTGATTGAAGTATTATCTGTGAGGCCAGAGCCCGATATAACTTTTCCCTCTGTGACATTGACCTCCATTATTTTTCAAAGTTGCACTGGGCAACATGTTTCTCCATTACAATGAGCCTGAGCACTCTAGTTCACAGTTCATCCTTCCCACATACATCTCCCTGCTGTTAGAAATACTCACTAGTGTAGGGAAGCACTGTGAGACGGACTTGCATTTTTTTATGGAATGTGTTGACAATAACAGAAATATTGAGTATCACTAGCCTTATCCTTTAATAAACAGTGTACTTTCTGCAGCCTTATTTATTACTGTTCGCCAGAACTTGTAGACCAGAGGCAAAAGCCAAAGAAATGAGAAGTACGGGGATAAATGAAAATTAAACTGGAAAAGACTTAATAAAAGGGTCAGGAAAAATGTATTAAACAACCACTGAGCCCAATTTAATTGCCAAGCTTTTATCTGAGTGTAAGGATTGTCAAGATAGTACTTTCAATGTGTCCTTAGAAACTGGAGGGTAGTCCAAGCAGCAACTGCACACAAGTCAAGCCAGATACAAACATGTACAAGTGACCGCTGAGGCAACTCCAGACCTGCCTTACCAGTCTGGCCTCATGTTTTGTTTGGTTTTGAATACTGGAAGATTGACCCTGGAAATGCTGGTGAACCATCAGAGTGAAAGGTTCACTTGTGTGCGCAGACCCCACATGACAAACATGATCAATATAAGCCCATAGAATATTTCCTTTATACAACATCTTTCCAGCAACAAACAATGATAATCCGAGGGGGTGAGTGTGACAGTGTATTACATTCAAAAACAGGTAATGATTAGCAACTGCACATATGTATGGTAGAGATTGTTGGGTGGCTTACCATTTCCTTCAGGGCTTCTAAGGCATCATTCAACTAAGGAATGTGGTGTAGGCTAGTGTGTGCAGTGTGTGCTGTGTGTTGTATGCGCGTGTGTGTGCTAGCAGTGTGCCCGACTGTTTGTGAATTAAACAGTATAAAATGGCGCAGCTGATCGACGTGTGGCGGGGGAAGAGCAACATTAACAAAAAACATTGAAACAAACAGAAAACAGAGGAAAATACACAACATTATCGGACAGTCTAGTCAGATAACCACAGTATGCTGTTGAGACGTGCACTGTATTTTATAACTATTAACCTGCCATATAGGGGGAAAGAATTATCGCATAGTGATACAGTTCATCTGTTGCAGACTTGTCTCAAATATCTTAACAGAGGAGGAAAAAATAGAAATGCTTAATTTACAAGAGAGCCTGGATAAAATGTATAAAAAAGAAGGCAGAAGGAGCTTTATAAGGTCTCGGAAACAGTGGTTAGATGAAGAGGAACAACATTGTTCATATATCTTCAAACAGGAAAAGTATCATGCAAATATGAATACCATTAATGAATTAAAAATTGGCAACTCTATAACTGAAAGGGATTTTGTGACCTCCCCTTATCCCTGGCAGAAGTCAGTGAGTGTTCAGAACTGTTGTAAGACAACAAGTCCCCTGGGAAAGATGGTTTTCATCTGAATTTTATAAATTGTATTCCCAGCAGATGGTGCCCTTCTTACTGCAGGTATTAAATGAAAGTGTAGCCAATACATTCCCTTGGAGTATGACTCAAGATTGGATTACTTTACTCCCTAAACAAGGATTTGCTTTATATTGATAATTGGCGTCCAAATAACCTCTTGAATAATGATTATAAAGTTTTGGCCTTGATCTTTGCTAGAAGAATAAAGTATTAGATTCTATAATTGATGAAACACAATCAGGCTTTATGCCAATAACATATCTCCAAAACATTAGACTAGTCTTGGATTTAGTTGAAGGGGACCCCTTGGGGACAATAGTGTTGAAGATGAAGTAATAAAGCAAAGCTCACAAAAGAGAGCCACTACTGGTGATCATCTGGAGAGTCTCATAATTCCTTGGTTTCTCTCTCACATTCACAAATAGAGCGATGATTGACTTTAGTTATTTGAGGCTACAAAATTTCTCTGATTATCTAAAATCATGTGGGTGAGTAGCATGTCCAATCTCCATTTCCTCACCTCAGGAATGACAAACTGGCCAGCAGTCAGCAGCGCTCCCAGTAGGTTGTCTCTGCCATCATTCAGATACACACTCAACTCACCTCATAGATAGGCACCTGAAGACAGAACATGTCTTATCTTGAAATGGCAGTTAATACTTTAAAATGCTGCATACACATTTTGTCTTTGTTTGCTAGAGGACAACAGCTCCTACCTGTGAGCCGGTGAGAATGATTGGTTTGCCCAAATGTTCACACATGAAGGACAGGGCAGAGGCTGTGTAAGCCATAGTGTCTGTGCCATGAAGGATCACCAAACCATCAAAGTTTTTCTGGGGTCAGACAAGAAAAAACGCCACATGATGTGGTTAATTTTAGATGGCAACATAAATACAAATGAGCTATACTAAATTTAAAAAAAATACTAAATGAGCAATGGGAATATTATATCATTGCTTTTAAAAGCATAAATCATGTGATGTTTGTTCGGGAATGGGGTCATCAACACCCTAACACTGAAATGGATCCAGCAGAAAGTACCTCAATGTCCATTCCAATTCTGTGGTCATATTGGAGGAGTCTAGCAAAGGGCTGTACTCTAATATTGTGTAGATTATCCTCTTATTGTCTTTACTCAACCTGGAGAGAGAATTTTCTATGAGTGTTTGTTCTACACACAAAAATGTAATTATCATAGCTACATACACAAAAACAAAACAGGGCAAACAACCCAAAACAAAACCCAACCCTCCAGAATCCAGAGAAAAAACTGAGTAAAGTTATATTATGTATGTTATATAATTATGTAGATAATATTGATGTGCAGTGGAAAAATATCGCTCCCAACAGCCAATCCCTATAGTTACAAAGCTTCAAGCTTATCTGGGTACTCATCAAACACAAGCTTGAAGCTCCTCACTGAAGGATGAAAAGAAGCACCTGGTGACTCTGTGTATCAGGGTCCATGGTAAAAAGTGGGCAAGTAGAAAAGTGGAGTTTCAGCTGCACATAAAGACAAAGTAAACAAGTCAATTGATAATCTAAAGTTTATTTTTCTAGTATTCAGTATCAAAAAATTTTTTATAAGTTGAGAAAACTCAATCCATTTTAATGTAAATAGTTTTATCCCGTGTGTTTATGACTTAAGAACAGATGAAAAAAGGTTTTACTCTTCCTAAGCTCCTTAATTAAATTTCTTCTGTGAAAAGGTTTTGTCAGGATCATTTTTGTTTGTTGTAATACCCATGTCTGCCACAAGAGGGTGAAGTGGATCATGTTCTGAAGAGGACTAAAATCATTCATGTTTTCTTCAAAGTGAGTTTTTATTCGTCTATGCACTCTAAACAAAAGGTACAAAAAAAATAGGTAGAAATGTGTCAGTAAGTTATGTAACATTACTTTCATTTTTTTCTTAAACATGGTTGCAATCTATAATCAGTGACATCATCAATACCATAAGGTACACAAGAGTAAGTTCCAAAAATGGCAATTTTAAAGGTAAAGGCTACAAAGAAATTGACAAATGTGCCTGCATTCATAGTTATTTCAAGAAATATAGCCTATAATAGGCCACTGGCTGAACATCAGAATAATATTATGAAATAAGATTAAGGCCCTACAAACCATGTTTGCCCACACATGTGCTTATACTTGTTTGGCTTGAATAAATATTTTCTCCAAACTGTGTGGGCGTGTACAGATAAAATGGAACACAGTCATCATTTACAGTATTTTTCCCTGTGCTTTTCCTGCTATGATGAGTCAAAGTCATTCCCTTTTAATGTGCTGATGATATCACGGATTGTAAAGTTGTGTGTGTATTAGTATTGTCCGGACAGCACGCAAAAAAATGGATCAATACCAACCTTACCTATGAACGACGTTTATATGGTTACTTTGTAGCAGTTTGGTGTTAATAGCACATGATTTCATCAAATGGCCATAGGTTCAACTGAAACAAATTGGTGTGTTTAAGGTAGTACTGATAAGAACCATCCAAATAAACATTCAGCTCAGGATGTATTACTAAAATTGTTGTGGCATTTTTGATGTTAGTATCTCGGGTGTGTGGGAAACTGAGATATACACTGCAGTTCATAGATGAAATTTACAGATAAAATAGCCTAATAGACTCTTCTATTTTTCACAGGGAAATATTGTACACTAGTCAATTAAAACTCATTGTTATACCCACCAGCTTTTATAGTGAATTAGTGTTTTCAGATAAAAAGCACAGACATTTAATGCCAGATAGTGCTTTTATCCACATGTATGCTGGCAACAAAACTGGCAATTTGTTAAATATGAGTTTAACAAAAGACAAGATTGTCTTCGTCGCCACAACAGAGAATTGTCAAGACAAATAAAAGGAAATGCACAAAATCATAGCGTACATGGGACTGACTTTAGGTGACCTGTAACTGCCACAAGGGGGTGATGTTATCCTTTACATAGCCTACACAGAGTCACTAGCCTTATCACATGAAAGAAAAATGAAATAGTGAAAATATTATCCATGTCATGTAGCCTATTCCCGTCATTTCATTTTCATGGTGGTCATTCCAAAATAACCTAAAAGAAAATACTAAAGTCGTAGAATAAAGCATAACGTTTCCTTCTAACATTACTTACTGTTAACGCTCAGTATAACGTTCATTAATACGTATATACATGATGTACCAAGTAGTAACGTTACATTTTATTTCATGCCAGTTTGGGTACTCTATTGTCTAACGTTGTCCTATGAGCAGTGGATGCCCCAGACAGTGAGAGCTGTACTAAGCAGGAGCAGCTGAATGAAGTAGACGGGAGGAAGTGGCGGTTAATGCAGCTCCACACCTTTCCGGTGTAGCAGCACTGCGACCAGCTCGACTTAAAGGAGAAAGGAGAGAGCTGGGTGTATTTATCGAGACAGGAGGGGGCGATAGGAGGTGAATTACTTTATATTTCAATTAAGTGTTTATGTCAGAAAGACGTGAGCCAAACATTTTGTCACTGTCAAACGTATTTTATATCCAGATATGACTAGTTTGCAACAGCTAACTGCCGTTATCTAGTTAGCTTAAGGCTAGCTTGCTAGGTAACAAGCTAGCTAATGTTAGCCTGCTAGCCTTCTTTAGCAGCCACGAGCGGTAACGTTAGCTTGCTAATTTGGCATGTCTGACCCTCCTCCTCCTAAATGTGTTTTCAGGGGGACGAGAAGAGGAGTTTCATGAGTGGATACATGTGTTGCTGAGTCACCGAGGGGGTTTCTTTGAAAAACGTCCCTTCCAGCACGGTGAAGTTACCCGGCGCGACGCTTGATGGACTAGCCGCAGAAAGCTGCTTTTCTCCTCCGGTAACCGTGAAGAGAACAAGGGCGCACCCGATGAGGAGGACCGCCAGACACAAGCACCAGAAGGAATTCATAAGTACCGCAGCTTTTTTCGGGGCCTTGTATACACGCTGTGTCTGCTCCCTGCAGTTTTTAATCGCCACGGCCTGTCTTTGTCACGCAGCTTAATGTTGTTTTGGGCAACAAAATGAACGTCCTGCAACAGCTGCTGCTAAGTTCTTAGTGTAACCGTGCCATGCTGTGTACAGGCCCTGCAAACATTGTGGTACTCTGAACGTAAATGTACTTCACAGGACGCACAGACTCAAGTAAAAAGTACTGTTTGATAGGATAGGGTTTAACATGAATGTGCATTTTTGAGTCCCCCCCCACACACACACACTCTCACACATATGCTCTTCACTGAGTCATGTTTTCACAAGTAAGCCCATGAACTGAAGCTATAGGCAAAGTGAATAATTATCTGCACGGTATCAGACATTTCTTTTTCTCGTTAGGAACAAAGTATTTATGCACAAGAGTTCAAAATGGGGAAAGTGCTCTCAAAAATATTTGGCAACAAGGAGATGAGAATATTAATGCTTGGACTTGACGCTGCTGGAAAGACAACAATTCTTTACAAACTGAAACTCGGACAGTCTGTCACCACAATCCCCACGGTCGGCTTCAATGTGGAGACTGTCACCTACAAAAATGTCAAGTTCAACGTCTGGGATGTTGGGGGCCAAGATAAGATTCGTCCTCTGTGGCGACACTACTACACGGGCACCCAAGGGTTAATTTTCGTGGTGGATTGCGCGGACAGAGATCGCATCGACGAGGCAAGGCAGGAACTTCACCGCATCATCAATGACCGGGAGATGAGGGATGCCATCATCTTGATATTCGCCAATAAGCAAGACCTTCCCGATGCCATGAAGCCACATGAAATCCAAGAGAAGCTCGGATTGACCCGCATCCGGGATAGGAATTGGTATGTTCAGCCCTCCTGTGCGACCACAGGTGATGGACTGTATGAGGGCTTGACATGGCTAACCTCAAATTACAAATCTTAATGATTGAGTGCAGACTGTTTTAGGTCAAAAATATAACATTGCAAGTAACAAATAACTTCTCAAAATGAGTATGGTTAAGAAAGTTGATTATCTCCCATTTATTTTTAATACTACGTTTTCCCCACAACTAATTTATCTCTTTAACTGGATTTGCTGGCTTAAAGTTTGCTTGTACTGTAGCAGGCCTATATATCCCATTCATTATTTTGGGGCTTGCTTGATGAATATTGAATTAATTGGTCCTAAAGCAACAGAGATCACCATGTTTGCCTATTCTTTTCCCTGTTTTGTATAATTTTTCTAATGAAGCTGACGTTTTTATCTTCATTCTTGGGCTAAAGTTTGTTTCAAGGTGCTTCAGTCTGTTGCATTGAGCTTGGATCTTTTTCTTTTCTTTTTTCTTCTGAGGTGGAATCTTTAATTTCATGTAGCCTACGTGAAGGACTTTGACATTTGTCTTAAAGTACTGTGCTGAAAAGTATTTCTTCTCAATGGTATTGACCAGAAATTTTCACCATTGCTTACATTTCATTGTCATCAGAGGGGGGAAAAAAAGACTAGACATGTTTTGTTACCCTTCGAAATCACCTTATGTGGACTATAGTTTACAGATTGACCTGATTTGTGTCAATTCCTGATACATAATTGTGCTGAATATTCAACAAATAGGCCTCCAGTAACTCTTTAACATGCTTGTCGGGGTGCATCTTTAATTTTGGGTAACACGCAGTCAGTAGACGCAATCTTTCCAAAGGAATGTCATTCAGCTCTGAGCTCTCTCAATCTGATACCACAGTTGATTAGTCTCAGTATTGGGACATTATATGATAGCCTATATCTGTAGCATGAGTACGAAAGTACAGTAACCCTACATCAGAGTCCATCTGTCGTGCAGTCAGAGGGAGCTGTGTTGAAAACACCCAGTGGTGCAGCTCTTACTCCTATTTTGACTGGGGGAACCATGTACAGAACAATGTCATTGTAATGTCTTATTAAAAAAGTGATTTTAAATCTGTTATGTCTGGGATTTTTCTTTAAGGATTAAAGGCAGTGTGCATGATTAGGCATGCAAGTAATCAAGCCATTTTATGTTAGGTGAAAGTTTTTTATTTATTTATAGCAGAGTTTAATATATTAATGCTGTTTTAAAAAAAAATGTTTCAAGAATGCTCATAGTTTAAAGTCTGCAGCGTTAAATTCTCCTGGGTTTTAGTGCTGTTGGGCAGATTCTTCATAAATGGTTTATGTCCACCCTCAGACGGAGTGGCTGGCCTCAGTTCCCTTGCCGGCAAATGGGGAAAATGTACAAAACAGGAAGTCCAACTGCTGGTCTTTTTGGGACAACAACAGAGCCACAGGATAGTTTGCATGAGAGTTGGAGGGGCAGCGGAGAGATGCAGCTGAATTGTGAATTCTTTTTGAATGTTGCGTGTTTGTTGTGGGCTACAGTTGAGTTGATGCTGAGCTGCCAGCTGTAACTTCCTGAATTTGCTTTTGGTTGGCAATGGTAAAAGCAAGTCTCAGTTCTTAAGTGGGAATCATGACTGTTCAAGTTGACTAATTCAGAGCTGGTGTTATTAAATGAGAAACATAAGTGAAAGTCCTCACTTGAGTGGTTTGTGATGGTTTAAGTGATGTGACAGTTTACCAGTAGGGTAACTTGTAAAGAGATCCCAGCTGCTAATCAGACCATCTGTGCAAGTAAATCACATTTTCATTGCAAAAAGAAAGTTGAGGTATTTGAGTAAAATATTCCTTTTAAAAGTTGAGTTGAATTTGTTAGCTCAACTGTTTACTATTGAGTCTGAGACAGACACCACTGTGGAGGAATGTTCTTATTTCCATTAAAGCTGATTAATGAGTGTTTTCACTCCCGACAAAGACAGGATTGATGGTGACAAATGGTGTGACTACCGCGTTGAGCGTTACAGAAGATTATTTAGTAGTATTCTGAGGATTCTGAAGGGTTTTTCCACTCAGCATACCGAAGGGCACTGTTATTGCTAGGGTTTTACACATCCACATAAAAACTGGCACTATGTACACTGTTCAAAAAGCACAGTTTGCATTATTCTAGTTTCATTTACAAGAATAGGATGCATGCTCTGTCTCACAAGGATATACAAGTAAAGTATTTGCAGCATTCACTGACAGACCCAAACATTTGGCTGTATAATCACGGTGGCATTTGCTGTGTGGAAAATCTGGTGCTCAGCAAGTTGCTGTAGGAGGCCTCAGGATGTTTGCTTTAGCACCACAGAGGTTTCCGTCAGACAGGTCAGGTGACACAGACAGATAGGACTCGGCTGGTACAGAAGATGTTTCACACAACCTACACACGTCTTGCAGTCATGATAACAATGCTCCATTAAAAAACAAAACAAAAAAAGGGCTCATAATTGATATTATCATTAAGAAACACTGCAAGTCAAGAGAGTATCCAGGCTACTGAGGGTATTTGTAAATACTTGCTTTCAGTAAGGGCTTTGTCAAGGGGCCTCCATTAGATGCTGATGGCAGTTTAATTGGGCTGTAATGGCCACTTTGCTTCCCACCACTTCATTACAACCATATGATCCTCACATCTTTATTGGTAACACCGGGGCCCCTGGGGCAAGGACAGAGACTGTAAGCAAGCTTTTATGACCTTTCCTCTGTAAAGATGAGAACCCCTGGCCTTTCTGTCAACTCCCTCTGTGCTCGGCTGGAATTCCTGAGAGGAAAGGTTAGGAATGGGTTTCAGGAATAGAAGGAAGCTCATTAGGATGTGCCTTTGTGGAAGAGGTCTCCTCCTTCTTGCTTATGAAGTGTTATACTGGTCAGCCTTTGCAAAGCTGGGGGTTGAATAATGATTGTGCACATTGCAGCCATAGACTGTATATAAAAAGATTGCAGCGTAGCAACAGCTTCTTGTAGCGTCCCACAAATGAAACTGACACGACTGATTCATAAGTCATTAGTGTCATCATTCGCAAAATGAGAAGCCGGATGAAAGTAAAATCTTATGAGACATATTTATCTTAGGCGGCCAGAATGCCTGTTTGTTGGGGCTGTTGCCGTAACAACGCCCTCTGCCAGTGTGGCCTGGTGGTTTTGGTATCACATAGGTGACTGATTGTGCTGCAAGTTTCCAGCCGGTTCCTCTATTCTACATGGAAAGAGGAAGAGTGGGAAGAAATCGAAAGAGAACCCACTCTCTATGAGCAAAATTCTGCAATATTGGAACCCACTGACTCGCCCCTTATTAGTCAACTTAACAGAGATTTAAAACTGCTCAGGAATAACCTGAAGACCTACAAACTGGGCCTGAACTGTTTGTGGTTTTTAAAGGTGTGGTTTGTCTTCCTCACTTGTCTTCACTTCCTGTTAACTATAGCTACAGAGCAACATTTGCACAGGTAGCACTAATATGATACAATTGTGAATGTAGTCATCGCTGGCTTAATGTTGGCCTACAGTTAAACAGCCACACCCAGCTGGATATTCACTGTAGGATTAGTTATGCACGCAGACACAGATATTCTGGCGAACACTGTCATTAAAGCGGTTTATTTATCTACCAAATGGCAGGAGGGAACACCTACTCTAAGCCACAGTTCACACAGCTTGGTTCAGTGGCTGTATATCCTCAAGGGCAGTATAACAGACTTTGGTTATGAAACGTCTGCCTGTCTCTCTGTCCCCTGGTTAAGTCCTCTGCACTTTTGGTAGCCTCTTCAAGTGAGCTGCTGAATAATGATCTCACACTCAGAAAACAGGTCCGGAAGTGGCTGGAAGTTGTTTCAGGTTTCCTGCTGAGGTTAACGTTTTCAAATGCCATGCTAAACGTAAACCCCTGGCCGCTTTTACACAGATGCACCCTGTTTATATTGTCAGTGTGACTTGAGTTTGTTTTGACTGCAGTTGTTTCAGTGCAGGTTTTACATATAAATGTGATGGTTTTAATAGGGGCTATGCTGTGGTATAGGCCAGCTAAATAAGGTTGAAAATGTGAGGCTGTGAAGTCCAAGGTGCACTCTGGGCATTGGTCCAAAATACATTCCATTCATATCTGCGACTCAAGGTTACTTGCTGTGGTGAAATTACGAATTCCGAGAACCAGAAAATTATTAAGAAGGGTTGGAAGTCCACATGACATAACCAATTTGTTTCTTAATGGATAGATAAAGTGCTCATACAAGCATTAACTACATAATTTAAGCCACTAACCGCACAGTTTTGTTGCTACAGTTTCACTGGCCTATAATCATGTTTGTTTTTTCACTTTAAAAACTATCCAATCTAAGTCCCATTACATTTTTTAAGCCTTGGGGCTTCTATTTATATTCTGTGATGTGAAAACCTGAAATTTGTCTACATGGTTCCTCTTGAGAATTGCAGGATGTTTAACACAGCTGTGTGAGAGTGTGGGCCTGTTTCTCCCTTGACTCCTATGCTGTGTTTTTCCAGCTGTAACACACGGAGTGTAAAGTGTGATCATAGCTGAGAGTTGACCATCTTGCCTTCAGATGTAAGCAGAGCTACAGTATAGGAGAAAGAGGGGCAGACATTATAGATTGTGCTGCAGTCTCTTGCCCACAAGGAACAGAAATCTGAGCATGTCAGTTTCTGAAACAAAATTAAATTAATTGGTTTTTGAGATTGCCCAAGGCCAGTGCACAGAGCGCAGACCTCTGCCATGTGGCGTTTGGCTTTACATAACCTCCTCAACACTCACAGAAACACCGACCAGCAAGTGTACAATAACATAGACAGGAGTCATTCACCCAGCAGCAGTATCCACCAGCCACATGTATTCACTCACGGCCTCCACAATCTTACTGACAGAATGATGAAGATCCATCCAAAGCAACCTCAAAGGCTTCCCTCAGCAGCTCGCCACCACACTGCCACGCTCCATGACTGACTAGATCTGTATATCTGACAAGATCGCTGTAATGGAGTCATTGTTTGGATTGACAGTGTGTCTGGATGAGACAACAGTTTGGGCTTGAGAGGAGAACTCAGATCTTTGGCAAGACAGGCGCTGCTGCTCACACACACACACAGTCCAGATTCCGACTACTGAGAGGTAATGACACAGGGAAACGCTACACTCACACATACACACACACATGCTGTTTCTATCCCCTCTGCAATTCTCCCCTTGGTGCGGGGCCGCCACACGTCCTAATGATGACAAATACATCATTGCACTAGAATGCCGTGGGGACAGCAGTCACAGGCAGTCAAGTCTCCACGAAACCTGTCGTCGTGTTTCAGGCAAGGGATCAATACAGTATTACATTTTTACTGATTGGAGTCAATCCCTCATTGACAGGCACACTGAACTATGTACAATACATATGTCACTGTCACTACACACAAAGTTTATTATAATGGTTTTAAACCCAATACCTACAAAGACTTATAGGAGTCATAAATGTTTGCGTTGTTTCATCGTCAAATGTTATTACTTTAACTACTTTTAATTTCCATGTACACAATCACTGGCATGTCATTGTGCTAACATTACTTAACAGGAATGGAAGAGGGGAGCAAGTGCACACAATGTTCTCTCAGTACTGGATTTGTGTCCCCTCTCAACTGCAGCACAGCTGTCTTAACAGCACCCCCGCCCTCCTCCTGTTCCCCTGCAGGGTGGCGAGGCGGGGTGGAGGTGGGTGGGGGTGGTGGTGGGGGGAGTTAGAGTTAGCATTGTGTTTCTAAAGGCTAGTTGTCCTTTCAGGCTCAGTTTCGCTGACACCGTACAACCTCTTGCTTTTAAATCCACTGAACAAGAGGGCCACAAATTATTAGCGTTGTTGCGCCTCATTATTTGAGATGGGAACAGAGAGCTGCAAAACAACACTAATCACACACTTTATTTTGGAAAGGAGCTCTGGCCTGTTGTCTCTTTGTGCAGCATAAAGTTCAAAGCTCCGTTTGTCATGTGAAAGAGTGAAGTGTGCTGTGTGTGTGGTTTTGGGGGGGGGATCAGGATCAGAGGAGTCACCCATTTGTACAGCCTTCTTCTATTTTTGATCAACCCAGTTTGATGTCTATTCTTGAGCCACTCCCTAATAGTTAGTGAGAAAATGAGTCTTCCTTTCTGGAACAGTGTCTCTTGGCTCCAGGCAGCGTGATGACGGTGACACAAAGGCTCTTCTGTGTCACTTGGCTGTGATGCAGCAGAGTGGAGCACACCACACAGGCTGCATGGGAGTCAGACTCTCCTCCGCCCATCTGGTTTTGGAGGGGCGCTGCACAGCTCCCTCATGTTTTCTCTTTTTTGAGACGACCGGGGAGGATGCGCGTGGATTACGGAGTCCATGCAGATGTTCTTCACTATGTTTTAATGTGTACAGAGTGCAGACTGGCCTGGGGTTGTATTGCGCATGTATCTTAGAGATAACTAATAACTAATCACACGCAAAACGACAAAACAGCCACAATTAATTTCATCATTATGGCATAATTAATAAATGACCTGTTAAAGTAGTGCACTCTGTGGCCTGTTCAGCTACTTTTTTAGTGTTTCTGTGTTGTTCTTACTGCAGATTTTTCCACACAGGTAAGAGTTATTCAACTAATAGCACCATCTGTTGGCAGAAAATTCCCCCATTCTGTCTTGGTGCATGCAGCATGTACGCCAAATATTCAAAACTGAATGTTTACGGTCACCAGAATCAACTGTACCTATATGATAGAACAGATTAGAGGCACCACTGCTTCACTGTGGGCTGTCCTCATTTACAGCGACTCTCCCTTTATTCCCCTGTAGTGCTAGCCTAATTAGCCAACCACAAGAAGACTATAACTACATTACTTAAATTATTTTTGGTTAACATTTAAGGAGGAGAGAGAACACCGGAGAGACTGGAAAATAGATTCTAAATGATTTGGCTGAGAGAGCTGTGGGTGGGCAGGGGGGATGAAATGTTGACACAGAACAGTGGAGCCCCTCTAATCTCCCCCAATAACCCCTCCAGGTCCTGTCCCTGCCACACTGGGGGACATGGACTTAATACCAGCTGTGAGTCCAATTAATTAGCAGAACATATTCTGGTCAAAGCCGAAGGAGACCTCATATCAGTAGTAGGATGATTCTGATTGTAGCAGTCCAGCTGCCCCAGGCAGAACTGAGAGGGCAGTTGAGGGCCACGGGGAGTGATTATCATAAATGATCCACTGTAGTAGCCTAATTTTAGTAACTGTAAAAAGGCAATTAACCTAACTCTATTCCTCTTGTGATAGGCCTTATCGTCGACCAAAGCCACAGGGATTCAGGGGTTAGACTATGATTCAACCCAACCACACCTCTGTCTTTCTCCACCATTTACACATTTCCAAACATTTATTAACATTGGTTATTAATCTATTAGTTAGGACAGGAAGGGCTGTGTTTGTACATGCACATGTGTTTTTCGATGTGCAGTTGACATTTGTTGTATTTGAACAACGATTTAGTGTTCACAAAGCTAAAGCATGTGCTAAAAATTGGATTATGAAGATATACTTGTTTCTGTTTAAATAAAGAATTGAACCATTAAACTCAGGAATATTCATGGACCTGAAGCACTGTGCCATCACAGATGTTCCTGCCTTACACAATCAGCAGATTTCAGGCAAGTAGGTTAACTTTGCACTCCTGGATCCCAAAAGAGAAACACCAGCATGAGTAACACAAGGAGCATCTTTTTAATGCATAATCAAACATGGTTCCTGTTGTATTCCTCTATAAAGTGATTTCATTCATTTCATTATTTAATGGGATCTTTGGTGTTAACCCCGTCAACTTCAGCATTAACATTGTTAATGCTGAAGGTTATTTGGAGTGTTGCTGCTCATTACACTACAGCTCCACAGTGTAAACAGAGAGCAGCATGAAAGGCTGTGAGGGGCCCCTGCATGCCTGTGGGAGTATGGGGCGTACTTCATGGTTTATGCTTGAAAAAGAGCCGTAATCTTCCAGCTAATCTATGGCTTGGAGTGGAATTCCCCTCGCATGGAGGGCAGAAGCTTTTAGGAGAGCTGTGCTATACTATGTTGGCTTCAGTGTGAAAAGCTACATAAAGATAAACATATGGATTCAGGATTTGAGTCATTTTGTCTCCACAATTTAAATTCATACTTAATTCTGCAAGAACCAGCTTGGCCCTCATATTAATCTGAGCTAAACTACTAACATTTACACATTTTTATTTTTATTTAATTTTAAGCAACTATTGCCCCCTAGTGCTCCAAATGTGCAATGACTTTATTTGTGCAATGAATTTACATAACTCATTCTCAATTACAATAAATCCAGTAAGTTGTAAGTGAACCCTCTCTGACCATTTTTGGCTGTCACTAATTGCTCAGTTATCCTACTGTAATAACCCACTGTGTGTTTTATCGTGAAATCAGAAAAAAGGACAGTGCTCAAGAGCAAAAGCACAGCAAGCCTCATGTTTGTGATTTCTTGCAGTTTACTGAGCTATAAGCACTCTTTCATTTCATCATGCATAAAAACAAAAAAAGAACAAACATTTGCAAACTAATGGTCAACCTAAAAAATCCAAACGAACACCAAGCAACGATTGTCCAGCCCCTTCCTTGTTGCTGTTTGTGACCCCTCCAGGTCAAACAACTCATTTTATTAAAGATGAGCACAGAAACAAAACAAACAAAAAACATCTAAAATCTTTTAGATAAATATAAAAAATCATTTTAATGTTACAGTATATCTTGCCTGCTCTTTTCCCCAAGAGACCAGACAATGAAAGTCATGATATTTTGTCTTCCTTAGTGACTGAAAAAGGTGATTTCTTTTGATATTCCTACAATGTAGTAGTCCATGTTTGACCATTTCTGGTCAGCTACAGTGTACATTTTCCATTGGGTGCTTGCCTATTTTATATGATGTATGGTTGAGACCTGTATGACCTATTCTCAGACGACTGATTATATTTTCTTCCCTTCGTTTCCAGCCGACCATCCTCCCAGCACCCCACATGTCTGTATATTATAAAGATTTCTTCCAGTTTCATCCCAATATTCCTGCCATACTGATGATGATGCATAATGTCCAAATTAATGTCTTTGCTTCAGCTTTGCTTAATGGAGTTTGTAGATCTTCATAATTGAGTGTTTGCTTGGCCAGAATATCCACCTGGTCAATCCCCTCCACACCTACATGAGCAGGAACCCAAAGGAAGCATGTAGATACACCATTCATTTCCATTCTGTACATTATAGGCAATATTTCATTGATTCTAAATGAGGATTTTCCTGATATTATGCTTGTTAGTGCTGAATAATTAGAAACTAATATTCCAAACTGCTCTGTGGTATATACTGACACATGGTCTGATACTCTTCTTAATATTTAACCCATTCACTGAACTATATACTGCTGCACCTGCACACCCTGTATCAGGATCTCTGGAAATTGTTATTTTTTGTGTTCAATCACACATCAAGACACTGTTTAGTGAAAATATTTTTCTTAATATTGTTTAAAAAAAGAGTGCAGTAATATTCCAGACATAATGGTATAGACTTTACATTTTCCATTTCACAGTCTGATATTTGGGTGGAGCAGTGATTACTGCGTGCGCAAATTTCACTACACAAACTCAGACTTTTCGGATGTGCAAGATGCGGATGTCTGGACTGCTAAACTCTGGGTCTTGCTTGTCTGAAGGAATCTCCTCACAACTGAAGTTTTGTTGCAGCAACTACAAGAGAACACAAAAGAACACAATGACCCAGTGACAGGTGATGCCAAATATCTCAACTGATTAACATGTATTTATTAGTATTTACAAATCAAACACACAGTTGGGTTCTCACCTCAAAAAACTTCCTTTCCACTTTTGGATTGATGCCCTCGGTGCGTTGCTCATAGCAGCAAATAATGCAGGTCTCTGGCCCGGCGAGCAGCTTCAGGCTCTCCACCAGTGGAACAACTGACTGTGCGGAAATAATTGATGAGTCACAAATGAGAAATACAGTGTTGCACTTCAAGTTTGTTCTGTTTTGCAATGATGGCTGCACAGTGCAATTTTGCACAGGGTCATGGAAAGTCCATGAAGAGAACTGTAGTAAATTACCTGCTCATAATAGATGCAATCTGCCATGAGGACATAATGGGGGGGAGGCAGGAAGGCAGACACATCTTCACCCCTTTAAGGAGAGTAGAAATCAAACATTTAGCCTTTGGACATGTCTTACACTATTGCTGAACATGCAACTTGGATATATGAATTAATTCAAGAATATAAAAAAAAATTAAATATAAGTACAAACCATTTCAGTACCTTGACAGTAATTGATCCACTAGTGATAAGTGCCTGGTTTTCCTGGATGTTCACCCTCAGGAGGGTCTGCAAATCCTCCAGGTCTGTCACAGTAACTTGAGCTCTAATGGATTCAATGCGCAATACATAAATATGTCATGAAAACTACCTTTTGGAGTTCTATGTTATTACTTTTAATCAATTTAGAATATCTGGAATATTGTCCACGTATCACGTTGGTGATACATATTTATGTATATTAATGTTTAAACGTAGTAAACGAGTAACACACAAACTAATCAGTTATCTCACCCCAGTGTTGCTGCCATCAGACCAACAACTCCTGTCCCAGCTCCCAACTCCACTACACTCCTGCCTGCCCAGACGTTCACTCCTGAGGACGGATCATAAAATTGCTTCGTCTCCAAATATTTTGCAAGAACTATGGCTGCGTCCCAAACAACACAGCCGACGTCTCCCAAGTAGCACTGCTTCACTTTTAAGGTACAACCGTCGTTTTTCTCAATGTCTCTCACAAAGTAATGACTCTCTTCTGCGTCAGCCTCCATGTTGGCCGCGACAGGAACAAGAAGAGCACTTCCGGTCTAATTTTACCAGGGTAAAAGAGAAGACTTCCGTTATACACAAGAACCAATTATTAAAAAGCAAAATGTAACTATTCATTCGATTGAATACTGTCTGTGGTAACTATTCTAATAAAGTCATGACTTGACTCAGCTGTAGGCTACTGTACAACTGTTTTGAGATATAAAGTTTTTTGTATTGATATGTCAAGTCAACAGTCATACTGGACTCCCCCACATCACACGTTCTTGGCTCTGTATTTTCGGAATAAAGTCTTGGCCATGAGAGATTCCTGAGGCTAGCCTGACATGTAATGGCGTTTAGCTCTTGTTTACCCTAGTTTACTCAGGATATTAGAGCAATTATTTCTCTTAATATCTTTCTTTTTTCCCTTAGTATTATTATGGCTTTGAGCAATAAGGTGGACGCTGCATTCCTGTGTGTAGCCTACTTGAGGGAAAGGAGTAACCTATCGACATGCACCATAGACAAAGGTAATGTTGGGGGCCCACAATCTATCAATCAACCTACCCACCCTCTATCGTTGAGCAGCGTTATTTTTCTGATAGGAATAGGATAGGAATCAATTAGAAATCATAAATAAAATATGTCCATAATGTCAATCAATCAGTCTTGATTTTGGTGTGCCTGACATGCGCAGATGCAAGCTGCTGCTGCTGAAACGGTGATGAGGGCCGCGCGCAATTTTGGCCAGTGCCTTCGGTGTGACAGTTTTTGGTAGTTAGCTTTACATGTGGGTCTTCTTTGCATTTCATAGAGGCCTCATTTTGTTGTTAACAGCATATTCACAGATTCACAGATTTTAGATGTACAAACGAGTCTGGTAATAAACGTCTATTAACCTGCCTTTTCGAGGTTTAAAAATGTTTCGCAGCAGCACAGAAGAGGTATCAACCGGCGGGGACACCTCAGAGTGTGGACAAACCGGGGGCGTGTCCTCTATGGACAGAAGCGGACTAAATGAAACTACCTCGTACGGTCCCGAATCAGCTTCCTCCGGTTCCTCCCACCAAAGTTTATATGAAGGCAGTAGCAGCTCCAGCCATGGTCCATCACTCCCCGTAATGGCCTCAGGTGACCTTATGGATAGCCAGAGCAGTTTAAGCTAATCTAGCGTCTTTGACTTTCTCCAGTAACGTTAGGGGTTCGGCAACTTTAAATGAGGTTAGAGGCAGTAAAATATAAGAATAAAGACATTTCCGATATTAAATTCTCAAATCTCTGGATTTGTTCTGATAGCAAATTATAGAAGGACAACGGGGGCATGTTTGTAAGACTAAAAACATTGTCTCTGAGCAGGGCACTGCGGTAATACACATGACACAGGTGCTCTCCTCATATTCTTTCCTGCCATAGGCCAGTTCCATTACAGCTTCCGGATGGACAAGACAATTTCATCACTCCATGCATATGCCTCGGACAACTCCCCCCTCCGCAGCCATAGAGAAACACCGAGACTAAGGAGGACCCTTGGGTCACACCCTTCAAGGACACCACTCACTGATCCCACTGGTACTTCAGCCATAGATCATTTTTCAAGTGGGTTTTCAATGTGACTGAAGCTGTGTTTCTAATTCTGATTTCTCTGTTTTTGCAGCAACAAGTTGCTCCTCTGCGACCACAACCTGTGGTGCCTCTGTGATTGTGGCAATGGTTGAAGGGCGAGGTTTGGCCAGGGGAGAGATTGGCATGGCCAGTCTCAACTTGAAATGTCCAGAGCTTGTACTCTCTCAGTTTGCAGACACTGGGACATACGCCAAGGTAACCCGTGCATTGTCTAATCCTACAGTCCACATGATTGTTTGACTGTTATTCACATAGACTCAGCAGGGGCTCTAAAATTGAGGGAACTCCTGTTTCTGTCCTATATTTTCTGAAGGTCATAACCAAGATTCACATCTTGGTGCCACTGGAAATACTGATGCCAGACACAGCCAGTGAGAAGGGGAAAGGGACAAAGCTGTTCAACCTCATCACAGGGAACTTCCCGGTACCAATGCAGAATAGGTGTTATGAGTAAAACACACAATTCATTCAAACAAATGCCAACTTTTAAAACAGAACGTAGCTCACTCATGCTCATTCATTCAGTCTTGGTTAGCACTACTGTGAATGTTGTGTTCTTGTTAGCTGTTAGTGTCAGGTAAACGTGCATTTTATTATGTTTTTTTTGACAGGGTGTAGCCTTCACTGCTATCCAAAGGAAGTATTTTAATGAGAGGAAAGGACTGGAGTACATTCAGCAGCTGTGTGCTCCAGAATTTGGCACAGTCCGCATGGAAGTGCAAGCTAAGTACGCCACTGAGTACAATAATGTTGAGAAATAGATATACTCTAACACTATATATTTTTTATGACCAAATGTCATGATTTGTTCAGGTATTATTGCCTGGCAGCAGCAGCTGCTTTGCTGAAATATTTAGAGTTCATCCAGAACTCTGTCTATGCTGCCAAGTCTCTCAAAGTGAGCTTTAAAGGGAGTGAACAGACGGCAATGATTGACTCAACATCTGCCTCCAACTTGGAGTTGGTGGTCAATAATAGAGACCACAGGTAAGCATTGGTGAGCATTATCTTCATCTGTGTAGTGCTTGTATAATCCCATAAGTGTTAAGTCCATCTGTCTCTGCTTATCTGTGTATAGGAGTGAGCAAAGTCTTTTAGGGGTGCTTAACCACACTAAAACACCTGGTGGTGCTAGAAGGTTGCGCTCCAATATTCTGGAGCCTCTGGTTGATGTGGACACCATCAACATACGTTTGGACACCATACAAGAGCTGCTCCAGGATGAGGAGCTTTTCTTCGGCCTGAAGACTGGTCAGGAACAAGCACAGTTTTTAATCACATAATAATGTGCATACTGAAGATGAGTGCATGACACAGTATATATCACCTAGTGAATATCTGTTCTTTTGCACTCCTCAGCCATAGGTAACTTCCTCGACATTGACCAGCTTCTCTCTGTTCTTGTCCAAATCCCAAAGCAAGAAACAGTATGTACAGTACTTTGATTGCCCATGATTGTATTTGTAGATTTTATTGTAATGGAATTCATGTGTGTGTTTTAAAATGCTTAACTAACTAACTAACTAAATACCACAAAATGCGTATGTGTGAAATATTGATTGGTCTTTCTCTTGTTGTGCACTTTTCACTGCTGTATTTCCACAGGTTCAAATTGCTGAAGCAAAAATTACACATGTCATTCAGCTGAAACACACATTGGATTTGGTGCCACGGTTAAGGGTCTGTGTCTGTTCACATGGAATAAGTTTAAAATCAGCCTACAGCCACAGATAGAATGAGAGAAAGGCTTTTTATTCACAGAATCCTTTTCATGAACAGATGGTGTTGAAGAACTGCAACACAGCTCTACTTAAGGCATACAGCACCTCATTGGAAGATAACAGGTACTAAGCCTTGTGGCTGTGTCAGATGTAAATGGACTATCGTGTAATGTCTACAGACTCCTTCCAATGTGTATCTCTGTGTCCACCTCAGGTTTGGCATGATCCTAGAGCAGATCAAGACAGTGATCAATGATGACACTACCTACCTGAAGGGAAGCCTGAACATGCGCACGCAGAAGTGTTATGCTGTCCGCCCCAACATCAATGAGTTCCTTGACATTGCTCGCAGAGCTTACACTGAGATAGTGGACGACATTGCAGGTGTTTATTCTGGCTGTTCAGTTTATATCTTTGGTTTATGTTTGTGTAACATATTTATATCACAGTGCTTTATTATGCACAGGACTAGTGAACCAGATTGGGGAGAAATATAGTTTGCCAATGCGTACCAGCTTCAGCACCGTTCGAGGTTTCTTCATCCAGATGAGGCTTGAAGGAGTGGTCTTACCTGAAGGGAAACTCCCCCCAGAGTTTATCAAGGTATAGTCCAGTAAAGGCAGAGAGAGTGACAACACTGACAGCTAGCAGACTAATTAAGGACAGAAAAAAGGATTACTCAACATCAGCTGTGAATGAAGGAAGCTAAATCGCCCCTCATGGGGACAATAAAGTTTGGATCATTGAATGAACATAAAAGCTGCGTGTGTTTCAAATTTTTTCCACCTCAGGTAACCAAGCACAAGAACAACTATGGCTTCACTACTGTGGACCTGGTGAAGATGAATGACCGCTGTGATGAGGCCCTGAGGGAGATCTTTCACATGTCCTATGTGTGAGGAGATCATGATCCTATGACTTACAAATGTGCTTGTAATTACACTGTACTGTATATTGAAAGAAAGAAAGATTACTTTGTACAAGGGCTGGGCTCGACTTAAGAATGCTTTAGCTGAGTAATCATGAGATTTCTTTGAGTAATTATTTGATTTATATCTGTCAAATTGTTTCTTTGGAATGGTTTTTGTTCCGCAGATGAATGTGATTATGCAGACGTGTGCTTAAATTCAAAGCTCATCTTTAAATATTGTTTTGATGCCAGAGACGTGACTATTTTATTTTATTTTATTTTATTTTTATTATTTTACTGTAATGACTGACTTAATCCCCAGATAAAAAAGCCTAAAAAATAATGTCCTAGTTGACAAATTAGTCAACGCATTAAGTAAAAGCAGGCAATACAAGCTTGTGCATTTCTCTATCTAGGCAAGTTCTCATCCCATTAACAGTTGATTTAGATCTGTTTGTTTTGTACAACTTTGCCTCCACTAGAGGGAGCCGTTTGTTAGATATTTTCCTCCGGTGCTTTGCCCCTGCTGCATCTAATCTGTCTCTTCACACAGGGTGATATGCCAGCTGCTGAGCACTGTCCATGAGCACATTCACTGCCTTTACAAGCTCTCTGATGCTGTTTCCATGCTGGACATGTTGCTGTCTCTGGCCAATGCATGTACCATCTCAGACTACGGTAAGTATGATTCCTTGTTAATTTCCAACCTCAGGTCAGCCCAACTGTCAAATTAACCTTGGAGAAGTCTGATCTGTTGTCTGAGGGAGTGGTGCTGTATGCACATAAGGCAGCACCCAGCCTACGTCACACATGACAGAAACTGCTCCACCAGGTTGGCAGCTCTGCTGGCCTCAGTTCTTTTTTGTGGGGGGTTGTGGGCAGCACCAGCCTGATCAGCTACGTGGGTGGTGAGCGCTGGCCCTCAGCTGTCTGAAAGTGTATCTCCATAGACATGTGCCTGCCCCCCTTCTATCCCAGCCAGCGTGTACTCAGATTACCCTTGTTACATAAGTCTGCACTGGTGTGCTGTATTCACCGAGACAAATCTCACCAGCAGAGGACCTAGCTGGCTGTAACCACTGCATGCAACCCTCTCAGAAATCTGTTTTTATTATATTGTGACACACCTTTCAGTTAACTAGACAGCAATTAATAATGTAAGTAACTGAATTATATAGATTAAATCATATCCCTTTCTTTTGATATGCAATGAACAACACATTGATAATCATCAAGATCACAGTTAATTCTTTTTGATCAGCCCATAGACACGCACAAAATAGAGTTATATAAACAAAATACCGACAGACAGAGGCATTTTTGATTGTTGCTCGTTATTTCTGCTGTGTCTGCCAGTGCGTCCAGAGTTCACAGACACACTGGCCATCAAGCAGGGTCGTCACCCCATTTTGGAGCGAATGGCTGGACAGCAGGCTGTATCGAACAATAGCTACATCTCCGAGGGCAACAACTTTGTCATCATCACCGGTCCCAACATGAGCGGCAAGTCCACCTACCTCAAACAGGTGGCGCTGTGTCAGATCATGGCTCAGATAGGTCAGCAGCAAGCCTTTCAGCCTCCCACGAATTTGGAATTCAATGCCGCTTGATTTGACTTGATTTCTGAGTAAAGCCTTTGCATTATTATTTCAGGCTCTTTTGTCCCTGCTGAGTATGCCTCTTTTCGTATTGCTGACCAGATTTTCACCAGAATTGGTGTGGATGACGATTTTGAAACTAACTCTTCCACCTTCATGTTGGAAATGAAGGAGGTATGTGCTTTTTTACATTAGGTCTGCTCACTCAATCAAAAAAATCATTAAATTATCATTGACTGCATCTTTCCTCCCCAAAGATCTCTTACATAATCCACAACATAAGTGACCGATCCCTAATCATCATAGATGAGTTGGGGCGTGGAACCAGTGCTGAGGAGGGCATCGGAATTTGTCACTCAGTTTGTGAGTTCCTCCTTAGCCTCAAGGTACAATATGCTCCAATACAGCCCTGCTCTGCCACTCCTTTCTCTAAAATGAAAACCAGATAAATAAGATTCCTGTACTTTATTTGAACCATTTAATTAGTAATAGTCTATTGTGGTACACCTCTTAGGTCAACAGTGAAGTAGTAAAATAAATACAGGAGTAGTCTAATTTTTCAGTGTTGTAATCTTAAAGGTGTGTGCTGTTTCCCTGCTGTTTGCAGGCGTTCACCCTGTTTGCCACACACTTTCTTGAGCTGTGCCAGCTAGAGGCTCTCTATCCCAACGTGGAGAACCAGCACATGGAGGTTCAGCACACACGCAGCGGTGACACTGGGGATGAGGGTGTGGTGTACACATACTTGCTTAATCGAGGATGCTCTGAAGAAAGACACTATGGTGCGGAGTCAGTGTCAATCTATGTATAGTACAACTCTGTTGAAATTGGTGAGGAGAGTAGTTACAGAGCTTGTTTTTGCTCTTCTAGGTCTGAAAGCAGCAGAAATGACTTCACTTCCTTCAAACATAATCCAAGAGGCAAAGACAATTGCCTCCAATGTTAGCCAGCAGCTTTTGGTATGGTTCATAAAGATAAGATTGCCTTTTTTTTACTACTGTCTTTGGTGTCTCAAACGGTGTACCTTTTATTTACAGAACATTTTAGCTGGTGCTTTTACAGCATGCCCCACATTGTGTGCAACAGTACATTAATTTACAAGAAACCAATGTGAGACCCTGAAAAAGTCAAGTACCACTTATTACAGATAGCACAAATATTGTTGTGTCCCAAAAATAATCATGTTTTATATCAGAGAAGTGCTGGATAAAGAGACAAGACCCATGGTGTGGTTTATTATCACTCTAGGCCAAACATCACAGTGATCCGGAAACACAGAGGCAGAGAGCTGTGTACCACCTGGCTACCCGCCTCCTGCAGACTGCCAAGAACTCCAGACTGGACCCAGACAGCTTGCGTATGTATCTAAAGGGCCTGAAGAAGCAGTATGAGGCGGACCTGCAGGCAGCAGGGCAGCCAGCGTCCAATGACACAGAGGAGGAATGACTGACTCAGCCTTACAGTGGGGAGGGGCAGTGATACAGTTAGAAAAATTTAAGATCAGTGTCTGATGATCATTTCTGGGCGTATTATGTTTATTATGCTTTTTTTGACAGGGTTGTTATATATGGGTTGTTTGATATTAAATTTACTTATTTAAACTTAAGTGTTAATGAGTTTCTTTTTGACCATACTATTAAAAGCAATATAATTTTACACCACAGGTTCATTTTGGAAATGTCATGGAAACTGTTGCAACATGTGTTCAATACCTAAAGAAACGCTCCTGATACCATAAGAAATTCCAATAACATAAGTGTTTGATAATTAGATACGATAGATGTACTGGATGTCCTTGTAGATATATTGAAGTACTATTTGTACCCATGTGTCTTATGGACTTTAGGGGGAAGTGCGGTGACCACTCCCCTCTTTTGCTTTGGTCGAGCGTAAGATTTATGTGCCAAGGCTGTCTCGAAAAGGCGGAGCTATCACTTGTTCTGCATTATGTACTGAGAGCTGCGGACGGTATTCGTGGAGTCACAAAACAAGCGTCCCTCAGCAGCCTGCCTATGACCCGCCCCCGCGAACCAGAAACAGGAGATAGGATAGCGCAGAAGAAAGCCAGGCTGGAGCTGCCCCGGGAAGTCAGGAGTCTGCCAGAGTCAACGCAAACAACGCCATTTCACCACTCGCTGAAGAAACAGCAAACTGAAGATACAGGTATGTCGTGAGCAGCTGTTTTCGGCGGTTTTGTGTTTATTTCTTGTCAAAGGGCCGTCCATCCCGGTCGTAGCGCAGCTAAGCTCTTTACCCAGGCCTGGGAACGGCCCTCAGGACTTGAACGGAAGAATGAAGCGGCAGACCGGGTCAGAGATTTCAGGCGAGAGGGAGGCTGGGTCACCAGCAAGATGAGGCCCGTGGGGGCAGATGTCCACGCCTCTGGACGGTCTAAGTGTTGGTGAAAGAGAAACAAACTTGGGTGTTTGTTTTAACAATGTAGCTTGTCAGTTTTATAGGACTTCCTCTGTACTAATAATGGGATTGGCCGGCTAACGTCAGTGCCTGGCTCATGGTAGTTGACGTTAGCTAGCTCATTCAGAGTGATAGGCTCTGGCAACTCAGTGAGACGAACTTGAGTGGAGACGAAGCTTTCCTGTGTGGATTTAACTATTATAGCAACTACTTGTAACCACGTCCAGGCCATTATTGAGAATCCACTGTTATAATGATTGTTTTGTTAGTCGTGTCGGTGAAGTGAGCCAGTCGTCGACAAATGTCCCTCTACTTTCTGTTTCGTGGGTGTTTAGTTATTATAACGTGTGACTAAGGAGCTAACGTTAGCTTGGGTAACTTAGCAGGAACGATTAACACTAAGTTAGGTCAGTTTTGCTTTTTCTGTGATTACAGGCTGTATCCACAAACAGCCTTTTCTTTGGTGTAAAAACAGCTGCCATAACGTCTCTTGGTTCAGCAGTCTGCACAAGGCCGACGATTAGACATGATCTAGCATGCTGGGGCATTTAGCACTCAACCATAGTTGCTGCCCTGGTTGAATGATGAAGATGCTTGCTATGTCAAAGACAAGTCGAGGTGTTGTAACTTATTTGTGGTACTTAAAATGAACGACAACCTTACTACATCTGCAATCAGGTGGCGAATAAAGACACGACGCACTGTACCCTGATGACTTATAGATCTATTTAGTTTAATAAACTTACTTTAATGCTAAGCGATCTAAAGTACTTTTATGAAGATCTTTGGAAATCCTTAAAGTGTTTGGCCACACTTTGCGGAACTTTGTCTTAGCCAGAAAGAGCAGACCAATACCTATTGGTTAATGTTTTCCACCATAACCAGGTGCTCCACTGTGTACTTTGCTACTTTCTGCGTAGTTTATGACCAGAATACTGATTGTGTCTTATCAGTTTGTGACACAGCAGAACTACTCAGACAGAACCATCTTCAATCTTTCACTCTACAAAGTTTCTTTGCTCTCCATTGATGTGCTTTTTAGTAAAGCGTTGTCATCTTAAAGATGTTAAGTGTAGAGTCCTGCATGACCTGGTTTTCAAATACTGTCTGAACTGCTTTTTGGGTCTGATAGTTATCAGAAGTTCCCTCTCGGGCCAGGCCTGCCAAATCAGGAGGCCTGGCCAGCCAAGTGGCTAGATTCCGGGGAGCCAACAGCCCGAGAGGGCTTTGTCCTCCGGGCTCATTTTAATGCTGGGACAAGGCTCAGGATGTACGGGGAAACACATGCACCTTCCACTCTGAGTACTGGGGCTGAAAAAAGCAAGCAGGCTTCACACTTTTACACCACCCATACGTAAAAAGCCAAGAACCAATGTTGCTTTAAGTTATGTCACAGTTTGATTTTTGTCTGACATGGAAGATTTCTAGAACATGTATTGAACTTGGCATAATGTAAATAACGTAAATACTGAAAATAGGTATTTAAAACCTTGTTTTCCCGTTCCCACATGGTGTGTATGTAGTACACACTGTACTATAGATTCTTTATGTCTTCTTTTATAGCTATAACTAGCAAAACGGTGAGAGTAGTTCGTGCACAGTGCTCTCTAAACCAACAGATATTTCAACAACATTTTTTATGAGTTTGCTGTCAACTGTAGCCTATGGAGCATGGAGGAATGCATGGCCTTTGACACAGATGCCATACAAACAAACCAGAGGAAATGAAGTGGATACGTGTTGAACGTGTATGGCAAACTTTTCTAATCAACGAGTAAGACCAGCCGATTGAATGTGTTCGTCGGAATCAAGGCTCTTCATAAAGTGTTATATAATATAAGCTGATAAATAGTTATATAATACTGAATAGTTTGGTGCTTGAAAGGCAAAAACATTTTTCAGCACTTTGTAACTTAGTTTTTAAAAGTGCTATACAAATAAAGTTATTATCATTATTTTTCAGAGTAAGATGAGTCAAATAATCATTAAAACAAACCTGGTACATTTTTGTGTGCTGTGGAAGATGTAATGAGAGGTTTTCGAGGTGGGCGTGAAACAGGGTCAACATTACACTATAGGGCTAAGCCTGCCAGTCCTCAGGAAGCCCTGCAGTGGAAAGTTATTCTTAAATGTATTATCATGGGTAATCTGCTTAATCCAAATTACTAAAGAGGTCTGCTCTACGACGCTGACTCCTACGCTATATTACTGCCACAGATCTTGGGTATAGGACTGGATTGCACTGCATGTCAAGTCACTCACCATTGGTGCCGCTATGTATTGTTGATGACACAATGCTGCTGTCGTCACCCAGGGCTTAACTTGTTCTCCGTTTTTAAAGCAGTGGTTTTATTTTTGTAATAACTGCGTATGTTTGCACAAGGCATTGCACTGCTGTGTGTTGGGTTGCAAGACATACTCTTCAATGTTTGAAATGAGATCTATTTCTGTTACCACCTTCGCGATTGTAACATCAAACATGTCATCTAGGGTGTTGTCAGATTGCTAAAACCGAAGAAAAAAAAATGTTCTTGTTGTTGAAAATGTTGGCAGTGTTTCTTCTTAATTTCTTTCACATGCATTGGCTGAGAAATTGCATTAATTGATATACTTATGTGTAAAATACATGAGTAATTATTGCTATGACAAATAAATCCACCTCATCTTAATAGTCATGTTGCAGGCATTTCCTCAGTGTCATTTATGCCAATACATGGAGCGTTAGTTGGTTTTAGTTGCATGTAGTGATAATAAAGTGTGTTGTGTCTCAAATGAATACTGCTTTATCCGCATTGATTCCACCCCAGCTCATTCTCGCTGCGTAGCCTTCAGGGGACAACATATAGTTCCTAAGAATATCTTTGGCAGATGCTAAACTGATGTAGTCTCAGGACCTCTTGACTCTGAACTTTGTCTGCGATGGAAGAAGAACCTCTTCTTCCTTGGCTTGAAGCAGGCAGGGGCCAAGCTGCAGCTGCAGCAGACCTCAGTGAGTGACACTTGCACGTGGATGTATTTTTGCCTCTTGCAAATCCATCCTGATATGAGTTTAGAATACCACCATGTCGTCCTTGTGGGGGCTGAAGGAGGGAAGTGACTAAATGAGACAGTGAGCTATCTTCTTTTTAGCCTAGTTGTCTCTCTGATGTTCTTGACCTATTTTGTCCCCCTTTAAGCCAGTGTGAGTGAAGTTGATGGCTTTCATTCTCCTCTATAACGGTCTTCTATCTGGCTCTTAACAGCCAGTGTTTCAAGTAGATATGCCTTATTCTCTATGAACTTATTAAAATGGAGGGCGGGTGTTAAGCTGTGTAGCTTGGTTATGGTTATCTAATTGGATCATATCGCTAAGAGAGGACAGGGTGTCAGTGAGAGTCCTCTCACTCGCTGCCTCTCAGCACTATTGATGTACTAACACCTCCTGTCCATTCCTTTGTTGCCATGATGTCTACAGATTTGCAGATGCATGTTGTGATGTGGAATGGAGCATGTCTGCTTTTTAACTGTTGGTGTGACCAAGCGGCCTAAACTAAACATCGTGTCTCCTTCTCTTCAGAATGGCGGTGGATATCTACGACTCTCAGTACCTGCTCATCCTGGCCCCTTCCCTGGTCATCGCCCTCATGTTCCTCTTCTTCTGGCTCTTCATGAAGGAAACCTCCTACGACGAGGTGCTGGCCAGGCAGAAACGTGACCTCAAGGTACCACCATCCAAGCCAGACACCCGGAAGAAGAATGAAAAGAAGAAGAGCAAGAAGAAGGAGAGTGCCAGCGGAAGTGGCGGTGGTGGAGGAGAGTCTGAAGAAGATCTTCGGGATTTTGACTTGACTGATGGTGCCACCGGCTCCGCTGTGGAGGTAGAGGAGGAGCCTGCACCAGTGGCTACACCAGATCCTGCTCCACCAACACCTACTCCCTATGTGCCTGTGTCAGTGTCACCAGAGTCCTCTGTCGGTCTGAGGGAGAGAAAAAAGAAGGAGAAAAAGGCAGCCAAGGCGGCTGCTGCTGCTGCCGCAGCTACAACCCGGTCTTCTGAGGAGCCAGAAGTGAATGGCTCAAAGCCAGTCGGTCGCAAGACTGAGCCACCTCTGACTGCAAGCAAACAGTCCAGCCCTCTTTCTGCTCAGCTTGAGGTTCAGGTCCAGGTCCAAACCACTCAGGCTCCTGTTCAGGGTCAGACACCACCCCAGA